GCAGGGCCTCCAACCCCTCTGTTCCTGTGTGTCCAACTAGTCTGGTTACAATTACATGTTTGTCTATTCACTGTAAAGCGCTATCTGAATAATAAAATAATAATAATAAAAGTTGCCCCCTCTTTTGAATGTTATATAAAAAGGCAGACTATAAAGTGGCTGAAGGCCACCAAAACAGGGAGGTAGATGGAAATCTTTCAGTTAATCCTTCCCCCTGTTTTGCAGAGGTTGATGGAATTTGTAGTGCAAGGCTCAACAGCAATTTCAATCATGATGAGAGATGGATGAAACTGCTGTGTAAGTCGACAGATGCTATTATAGAACTTTTTTATTCACGAATGAAGCTATGTTTACAGATGTGCTGAGGCGGCTCTCTAATTAGGCGACCGCCTAAGTCCTTTCGCTGGCTGGGGCCTCGCGGCTGCCTAAATAGCCTTAGAGCAGACTTACATGTTGGGTCCTCAGTCCATGACCAAAGATCCGACATCAGGAGGGGGCCCGGCGGCTTGCCTTTTATGCCGCCGGGTGCGAGGCCCCTCCAGTCTGCAGCTCCGTCGGGTGTGAGCTCTAGACTGAAGTGTCTCTCAATCCCCAGCCAATCAGAGCGTTGTGACAGGTTACCACGGCAATGCTCTGACTTCTGGAGATCGTGAGACTCTTATCACGCTATTGTGGTGGTTTCCAATACTGTGACAGTCCAGGTTGGACGATGGAGCCAGAATGAGTATACTAAATACATTTTAATGGCTGTGATCAGTGTTCTTTGTGTAAAAAAAACCCATCCCTTTGTGGTAAATCTTCATAATTTCCCCTAAAGTCAGCATAAAACCCGCTTCAGCCAAGTGCTTCCTGCCTTGTGGAGAACACGGTCACTGATAGAAACATAGAATGTGACGGCAGATAAGAACCATTCGGCCCATCTAATCTGCCCAATTTTCTATATACTTTCATTAGTCCCTAGCCTTATCTTATAGTTAGGATAGCCTTATGCCTATCCCACGCATGCTTAAACTCCTTTACTGTGTTAACCTCTACCACTTCAGCTGGAAGGCTATTCCATGCATCCACTACCCTCTCAGTAAAGTAATACTTCCTGATATTATTTTTAAACCTTTGTCTCTCTAATTTAAGACTATGTCCTCTTGTTGTGGTAGTTTTTCTTCTTTTAAATATAGTCTCCTCCTTTACTGTGTTGATTCCCTTTATGTATTTAAATGTTTCTATCATATCCCCCCTGTCTCGTCTTTCCTCCAAGCTATACATGTTAAGATCCTTTAACCTTTCCTGGTAAGTTTTATCCCATAATCCATGAACCAGTTTAGTAGCCCTTCTCTGAACCCTCTCTAAGGTATCAATATCCTTCTGAAGATACGGTCTCCAGTACTGTGTACAATACTCCAAGTGAGGTCTCACCAGTGTTCTGTACAATGGCATGAGCACTTCCCTCTTTCTACTGCTAATACCTCTCCCTATACAACCAAGCATTCTGCTAGCATTTCCTGCTGTTCTATTGCATTGTCTGCCTACCTTTAAGTCATCAGAAATAATCACCCCTAAATCCCTTTCCTCATATGTTGAGGTTAGGACTCTATCAAATATTCTGTACTCTGCCCTTGGGTTTTTACGTCCAAGATGCATTATCTTGCACTTATCCACATTAAATGTCAGTTGCCACAATTCTGACCATTTTTCTAGTTTACCTAAATCATTTGCCATTTGGCTTATCCCTCCTGGAACATCAACCCTGTTACATATCTTAGTATCATCAGCAAAAAGGCATACCTTACCATCAAGATATTCTGCAATATCACTAATAAAAATATTAAAGAGAATGGGTCCAAGTACAGATCCTGAGGTACCCCACTGGTGACAAGTCCAAGCTCCAAATATATTCCATTAACTACAACCCTCTATTGCCTGTCACTCAGCTACTGCCTTACCCATTCAACAATATTGGAATCCAAACTTAAAGATTGCAGTTTATTGATAAGCCTTCTATGTGCAACAGTGTCAAAAGCCTTACTGAAATCTAGGTAAGCAATGTCTACTGCACCACCCTGATCTATAATTTTAGTTACCCAATCAAAAAAATCAATAAGATTAGTTTGGCATGATCTCCCTGAAGTAAACCCATGTTGTCTCTGATCTTGAAATCCATGTGTTTTTAGATGTTGAACAATCCTATCCTTTAACATGGTTTCCATCACTTTCCCCATTACTGAAGTAAGGCTTACTGGTCTATAGTTGCCCAACTCCTCCCTATTACCTTTCTTGTAAATAGGCAGAACATTCGCTAACTTCCAATCTTCTGGGACTACTCCTGTTAACGGTTTTGCTAGTACACCACTAAGCACTTTTAATAGCTTTGGGTGTATTCCATCAGGTCCCATTGACTTATTTGTCTTTACTTTTGACAGTTGAAATAGAACCTCTTCCTCTGTAAACTCACGTGTAATTAATGACTCATTTATCCTTTTTCTCAAACCCAAAAGATGAAATAATGTCTTTGGAGATAGACATGATCTACAGAAGGAGGTGGTAGAGGACAGGTAGGACTTATTTTATTTCTAAAATAAAATATACACTTGTGCATTTCCCAAAAATTTGTTTAGTTACAATTTACTAATTTTCAAGTTTTGTCAGAAATGGTCAATTCACCTGATCTACGACCTCCTTAAAGTGGGACTGAACGACGATTGGGAGGAGTGCTCCTCTCTAGATCAGACGGGCTGGTGGGGAGAGGGGAGGCACTCACTTGATTTCTGTGTTAATTTCCCGCATTACTTTTCTTTTAAAACATGAGTCTCTAGAAGTGTTGTATTACCTACTGTTACAGCTTATTAGAAATACTTTGATAGAATGTGAGAAACCTGCGAGTCCTGGCAAGATATTAGTTCATTAGAATTGTCCTGCGTGACTCACAAATGGTTGTTGACTTGGACCTTTGTGTCCATGAGTAACATTTGGTGCTTTACTTTACAAGCAATAAAAAGCTTATTACAAAAAGTTTTAAAAATTGTCAATTAAAACAAGAAAAAAATCCATTTAGAAGATTTTCAGACAGCAGTATTTTGATTACTCCAAAGCATACCAATTCAGATTCTGTCTAGTAGGCAACTTTTTTTGGTATTCTTATGGGGATTGTCATAATTAAAGGGTCAAACCTAAACTCTATATTATAAATTAATAACCCCCTATACACACGCTACAAAAATAGGTTTAAAATACACTACCTGAAATTAAGTGCTGGGGATGGGTGGGGCTGAGCTATACTGTACTATATTGGCTCAGCAACATGTGAGTGGGATAACCATCGAATACATTATTACACTTATTTCAGGCTATATCCAAATCCTAATTGGTGATAATATTTTATTCAGTGTGCTCACTCACCTATCTTTTTAATTTTAGAGTTCACACTGTGGCATTTGTGCACCCTTTATATATATATAAAAAAAAAAAAATAAAAAAAAAAAGGTTAATCGGTCATACACAATCCCACCAGCTGCAGATATTTCCTGGTTAAGAAAAGCTGGAATTCATACGACACAGGCGGAGCTGTATTCCTGGCAATTTGGTTCCCTGTAGGTCTGAAACGGTTGACTAAAAGCTTTTGCCAATACTTTGGGTTTGTGAGAAGACTTATTGGAGAACAAACTACAACTTAACAGGTTTTGTGCCTTTAGAACAAGATCCATTTAGCCAGCCTTCATGTACAGATAATTAGAAATAGTTTTAACCAATTAATGTTGTGTTAAAGAGATTTTAAACTCCTCTATTTTGAACCAAGTCCTATAAATCACTTGACTTGCTGAAGTGCTATAAGTGTAACTGCATTGTCTCTCCAGGCTTATTATATAAAAAGGCCAGTTTTAAAGGGACACTATAGTCACCCAGACCACTTCAGCTCAATGAAGTGGTCTGGGTGCCAGGTCCCTCCGGTTTTAACCCTGCAGATGTAAACAGTTTCAGAGAAACTGCTATGTTTGCATTGCAGGGTTAAGCCAGCCACTAGAGGCGCATCTGCGACGCTGGAGGCATATTATGCCTCCATCATGCAGAGCGTCCATAGGAAAGCATTGAAAAATGCTTAACTATTGACAGCTTGAAAGCACGTGCGACACTTGCCACGCATGTGCATTCAGCTCTGCTGATGTCGACAGAGGGAGCTGACGTCGACGGGGGAGGAGAGGTCACCAGCGCCGAGGGAGCCTGGCCCTGGAAAAAGGTAAGCTTCTGAAGGGGTCTTAACCCCTTCAGCCAAGCAGCAGGGGGACCCTGAGGGTGTGGGCACCCTCAGGGCACTATAGAGTCAGGAAAACCGCTTAGTTTTCCTGACACTATAGTGATCCTTTAAGAGGGGAAATGAATAAATCAGCACTTCAGTGAATCCCCTTAATAGAACCTCCTGGCTGTCAGGTAGCCAACAGGGTTTCCGGTCACCATGTTGAAACTGAAATTTTAAAAACAGAAGTGAAGAAAAATAAATAAATTATAAATTAGATAAATATTGTGCAGACCTTGTACTATTCCCTGTGGTTGCCCGTACATTCGCTCCATAAAACCCACGGGGAGCATTCGTTAGTGTTCGCACAGGGACCCATGAAGAGAGACCGGCCATTGCCCTTGTTTCTTTGGTTAGAACTTTACCGAATGGTGATCCCGTTCTACCAAAACGGATCTGAGCGGTTTTTGGATATGTTGGGCCCTCAGACACTGGCTACTCGGGGATACAAGACTTGTGGGGCTCCTGTGAAAATTAACCGTTTTTGGGGTGTTTCATGTGGTTTCCTGTACCTGAGAGATAATGGAGTTATCCAGTTTAGACTTCATTATCTCTCAGACACAGATGCCTGGGTGGGGTTTGTGTCCCCCATGCTGGGGGTCTGTGCATAAAAAGCCAAGCTTTGAGCTGAATAAACCAGTTAACTCCCCAAACTGTGTGAATGGACTATAAATCACGGAACCCAGCTCCAGAGTACTTCAGCAAGAGATTAGGTCTCAGGACACAGACACAATCACTTTTTTTTTTTTATTGTTCTGCTAACATAAGGAGGAGTTGTATGGTAGAAACTTTGAACTTTATTAAGAACATTCCGAACTTCTGCACAATTCCAGCCTCTTTCTATACTGGAGGAGGAGCTAGTTGCTACGGACGATGCTCACAGTCCAAAAACCTTCGGCTCTACTGAAGACTTCAGCAACTCATTCCCAGCTTTCACCAGTTCGCCCAAAGAAGAACCTGTTACAATTTAAACAAACAAGGCTGGATGTTCAATAAATTGTAAACAGTTGGGAATTAAAAATTAATTTTGAATGTTAGGCCAAGAAGGTGGAACCAAAAATATAGCTTACTTGGCTAAGGAAATTTAAGTGTGAACGGTCAAACCCCCCCCAAAAAAAACCCACCAACCTCCCCAAAAAAAAACACAAACACCACCACACTACAAACTATATGTATTGATGTACTAATTAAAATAGAAAGGGCTTCCTTTTAATATCCTATACAACATTAAATGAACCTCCCTCCAGCATTCTAAAGGAATTTCTCAGTTTGTGCGCAGGGAGGGCACTTGCCACCACCTTCCCCACATTTTCACATCTAGTACAATTAAAACTAAACAACAAAACAAATTCCTGTATGAGTTATGATTGTTACATGCCTCATATGTCTAGGATATAACTAATCCAATACACCTAGTTAACTAAGCAAACCCTCTGCCAATATCAGTATGGCTATCAGCAGATAAGGTTCCTAGTTAAAACTGTAGAGTGGTCTGTGATCACCACCTGCTGGCCATTTTAAGCATGGCAGGGAGATCCTAACATTAGTAAGTAGACTATTTACACATTCTCAATACAATACATAGAATGCATATAGAATCAAACATGCAATGTCAGATTCTGCAAATCGGTTAGAGACGGTTATCTCCAACTTTTGGTGTAATGCCATCCTCAGGGAGCGAGACATCAGCTCATTATAACTCATGGTCATTCAGGGGTTCCATCCACACAAATTTCACTTTTACACCTATGATCAGACCAATGACAGATCTAACACCTCTGAAGATCCTGTAGCACCATTAACATGTTTCCTGGCACACACTCCACATAAATTAGAGGTTTTTAACCATTTCATCTCATTGAAGTGATTATAGTACCTGGAATACCCTGACCGTCACTCCATTCAGTAACAAACCATTTTTTTGCAGTTTAAACACTATATAAAAAGGTCCCTGGCCACTCAGACTGCCATCCCAGAGGTGTGGCTAAGGTAGAGATTACACAATTATTTTAGTCAAACGAATTTATACCAGCAATAGGCACTGTGATAGGCTAAACGTGATCAGTGACACATAGCCAATTCCAACCGCCCATTACGGCTTATGTGAATATATCCTTTACAGATATCCAAGCAGCACAGAGAAGGACGGACTACTGGAGACTTTCGTTCTCATTAAAACATTAAAAATGGTTTAACACTGAATGAAATATCCTGGTATCCTTTTTCCAGACACTACAATTAGCTTTTAAACCTCATTGAAGTACAGTTCCCCATTAAAAATTCCCAAACCCGTGTGTGTGTGTGTGTGTGTGTGTGTGTGTGTGTGTAATTAATATATATATATATATATATGCGCATAAAAGATATCTATATCTTTTATGCGCACCTTTCTCCTGTTCCTAATCTTTACCTGCTTTGGATTTGACCCAGGACAGAGCCTTCCCCTCCAGGAGCTCCCACTCATCTCTCTGCTCAGACGACGAAGCATGAAGCCAGATCACAGCGAGAACAGTCACCCAGACTGAGGCATCAATACTCTAAATGACAGACACAAACTTTAATTTCTTGTTTCCAAAGTACAGCTGCTTAGAGATTTAAAATGTTAGATTAAAGCAGACAGTCACAGTATTTTCCCACAAAGAGTGCCTATGTGACATTGCCCATTATCATGGTGGAGCCTGGTAGAGATGGGGAGGTAGAATTCAACATATTTTGCCGCTTTGTACAACAACTAAAACTGACAAATGTTTATAGTTGGTTAATAGGGCCTTGTCCAAACAGCTTACAATCTAAAGGGATGAGGGACTAATACACAGAGGGAAGTGATGGGATCACACGATTGGCCTGTACCAGATGTGGTGTGTGTTTGGGGGAGGGAGCACAGTGGACGAGAGACGGCATAAAAAAAGTTATAGGTGATGAGGAGTTAAGGGGTGAGCAGTTGGGATTCTCTGTAGAAGTGTGACTTTAGGGAATTTATGAGAGGATGCAGAGATGAGGCTTGAGCAGTGAATTGAGCAGTGAGACTGCAATGGCATGATCTACATGCCAAAACAGTTTCATTAAGATGAAGAGGTTTTGTGCCTACAGTCCCTTTAATATACTATTACAGCTCGATTATTCAGAGTTTGGGAAATTGCTAAAACAAAATGTATAGACTTTTTGGAGATCAAATTCATTTTGAAAGTAAGAACTGTACTTGTCTAAAGCCTTTCATTCAAATTAATGAACTGAGCTTGTAGCATGCAGATCTGGATTTTTTAACCGTAACTTGTACTCTTACCTTTTGAGGGCAAGTTTCCATGAACTCTTCTGAGATTCCCAGAACTGAAGCCAGTTCTGAGCTGGTATTCCAGGAACCGTCGGCATTCTGAAGAGAGATCAGCCTGAAGAGTGGTGGTGTCTCTGGCTTTAATGGGGGAATGACCTCTTCACTTGGAGTCACTGGCAGACAGGAAACATCTGGTATTACACAATACATTAGCGGTATCTGATTGGGGTCTATTATCAAACTATGAGGAGTGATGAGTTTATGGTTACTCTTACTTTATGTGATAAAATCTGAGAGATTAGAAGGAAGGGGAAGTCTAGATGAATGTGAACACTATGGTCACCCAGATGTTGCTAAACTACAACTCCCATAATTTCTGGTTGTCTACTGCATTCAAACAATTTTGGTAATTGTATGCAATCAACATATTGGATCCAGGAGTCCGCCATGGCCAATTTCCTCAATACCCACATTGGATGACAAATTGAATACCATCTTACCTCTGCCCTTTTAACTTTAGAGGTACTCAAAAGTCCCTTAAACCTGCAAACTTAATTATTGCAGTTTTTAATAAACTGCAATAATTATTGTGGTGGACCTATCGCACTTCCTAGTAGTCAGAGTACCATAAGCAATTTGCTGAGACACAATAAGCACTTCCAGCCCCTAGCCACAGCTTGGCTGGGGTCTCGCCGCCTTTTCCCACCCTGGACCCAGCTCCCAGTGATTAGAGCTCTCCTCCAGAGATTATAGCAAGCAAAAGAGCAAGTATAGTTGTTCCCCCCCACACATTAGCCGAGACTTAAAGGAACACTATAGTCATCTAAGCAACTTTAGCTTAATGAAGCCGTTTTAGTGTATAGATCATTCCCCTGCAATTTCACTGCTCAATTCTCTGTCATTTAGGAGTTAAATCACTTTGTTTCTGTTTATGCAGCCCTAGCCACACCTCCCCTGGCTATGATTGACAGAGCCTGCATGAAAATAAAACTGGTTTCACTTTCAAACAGATGTAATTTACCTTAAATAATTGTATCTCAAATCTCTAAATTGAACTTTAATCACATACAGGAGGAGCAAGTTTTTAACATAGCCGGGGTTAGGAAAATCTAGATTAAACAGAAGTTGCAATAAAGAAGGGTAAACATTAGGTTAAGTGTTTATGGAAGGCTGTGCAACTCACATGAAGGGAGGTATAGCTAGGGTTAATAAACAGTGATTTAACTCCTAAATGGCAGAGGATTGAGCAGTAATTTATACACCAAAACCGCTCCATTAAGCCAAAGTTTTTTGGTGACTTTAATGCTGGGAGTAGACCATTTATTCCGGGCCACGCAGCCTGTTTATGCAAGAGTCCCCTGAAAGGGGTTTCCAACACAACATAACAGGGTCATCCCTCCCATGATCCTCTGTGCTGGAGAGGCAATCCCCTCTCAGGTATAGAGAAAGTTGAACGACAAATGCTGATAAGTAGATTTTTCGGATAATTGGAACTCCTTAAAATCACTACCCATCTGTGTTACCCACCAGGAGAAAGCGTATAAAATACTTTTCCACTGGTACATCATCCAACCAAAGCTGGATTTTCTCTGGAGACACTGGCTCCTTCAAACATTGCTGGTGGACCTGCCCCAAACTCATAACCCTCTAGAAAAGTATCACAGCTTTGCAAACCAGAATCCTTAAAGTGAACATTTCCCAATGGGCACCTCTATTATCAAAGCCCATTGAACCCTTCACACGAAACTAAAACAAAACTAGCCTTCAGAGATCAGTAGCCAAAAATCTGGGCAAACCCTAAAATTCACGCCCCACAAAATGATTGCTAGGAAAATAGTGGAAAGGATTGACATTGATAGGAGGACCTCTTGGGTCCACGATTCACCCAAATAGTTTCATAAGATCTGGGACCCCTGGTTGGAAGGAGACACTTCTGGTAGCTTTTTATTGACTCTACTTTCTCCTTTACCCATACCGGAAGTCAGGAGTAGGCAACCTTTGGCACTCCAGATGTGGGCTACTTATCCCTTGCGCATTATAGAAGATGTAGTCCACAACATCTGGAGTGCTGGAGGTTGCCTACCCCTTCTCCAGATTGAGGCAACAACACCGTGGTTAATATGGACTTCTTGCCATCCCCTCCCCCTTTCAATGGATTTATCGCCAGCGTAAAACCATCCTCATCCTCATACCCCTTCAATTTTCTCCACCCTTTTATTTTCCTCTGTTCTTCGCACACAAACAATTCCTTAAAATATATACGTATATAACATGTACGATGGGGGTCGACCACACTAAAGATGAATTCATACACCCACTTTACTCCAATTATCCTAAAAAAGAAAGTACGGTTTTACATCAAACCTAAACTTTTATATCTGACATGCATCTCCATTATAAGGGACTCAAATCTTCCTCAACTTTAGAGTCTATGGCCAGGTTTGCCTTCAAATGAGCCTTGGCTTATAGACTGACCCACAGGTCAAAGAATCAAGATATCAAAGTATGTATCTTCCTATTACACCAATTATACTTTCTGTACTTTTAACCTCTGTTCTACATGCAAAATGGTTTTATTTGACTTCTCCAGGTTTTATTTTGTTTGTGTCTTTGTACTTGTTAAAAAAGTCTAAAATAAAAAAAAATGTAGATCATAAGCAAGGACTGTGCTCGCCACACATGCACTTCTCGCCCCCAATGCTTCTCTACAAAGCATTTTATCGTACAAGAAGACAGCGTGGTTTTGCAGGACTGGATCTAAGCAACAAATGAGAATTTTTTTTTACTTATTAATTACCATTAGCTGGCCAGTTCACACCTCTCGTGAGACGGCAAAAATGCTAAGCCACAATCAAAAACAAACATAATTTCTTACCTTGTTTTTCTTGGATGACATCTCCTAACGGAGCAGATGGAAAACTCTTGGGTGATAAATCATATGCTGGAGAGAGATAAGAGCCAAGTGCCAGTGTCACAAGGTGGAGGTCTTAAAGAAACAGAACTCTCTTGTACAGTCCCCAGTAGGCCCCAAGCAGTGAAAGAAGCGAAGCGACATTGGTGCACGTGTAACGAGAGCGTGGGAGATGGAAGGAATCAACAAGTGATACAGAGACAGAAAGGGAGTGAGCGGATAAGAGAAATGTACAAATGGTACAATGCTGTTGTTGTAAAGTCCTCATTTCATCTTAAAGGGATAGGTTTAAAAATTTATATATATATATATATATATATATATATATATATATATATATATATATATATATATATATATATATATATATATATATATACACACACACATATATACATACATATACACACATATACATACATACATATATATACACATATATATACACATATACACACACACATATACATATATACACACACACACACGGTACACATTCAGAAAAAACAGATTTTTTTCGCGTAAAAAAAAAAAAAATCATAACTTTGAATTAAATTCCATTCATGATTTCTGGATTTTTAAGCAGAAAGTGGCCCAGCATTAAAGTTATCCTCACCGGTGTATTTTTGGTAACGGACCAGAACTTTAATGCTAGCTGGACTGATTGGCAATTGTTCTCTAAAGATTGTGGATTGGACTAGGAATACATTGAATGTTCCAGTCCTGATGTGGCTGTTAAGTGTATGGCCTCCCAAATATTTAATATGACTAAAAAAATAAAAAAAAATAACTAAACAAAATAACGTAAACGAATTGCAAAAGTTTTTTTTATAGTGCAGAGTCTTCTAGTTGGGGATATTCGGAGCATGCGCGGCGTGCTGAAGATTCTGCCATCGAGAACCATCGACAAATGCTGGTTTCCCGGCTCTCGTATGTAGAGGCAAAGCTTGAAGTTGCACTTCCAGAACGTCTAGTATGCAGGCATTACAACTTCATTAAGGATTCACATTATGAAACACAGCGTTACAAACAATTCTTCAAATGGAAAAAAATTACCTCTGGGACGCCTTTAATGAAAGAATTTAAGAAAAAACAAATGATATAAAATAAATTTTATTTTTAGGCAGTTGGCTAGGGTCTGAATAATATTTGGATCTTGACCAAATGCAATAACGGGCCAGCCTCATCCTTTTAAGTGTGTACGGTACACGGTTTGATTTGGAAGACACTCAAGTCAAGTTATTGACCCTTTAACCCCTTAAGGACCAAACTTCTGGAATAAAATGGAATCATGACATGTCACGTGTTCTTAAGGGGTTAAAGGCTCAGTATAGTGTGTGGAGGATATGGACCTAAAAGGACACTATATAGACAGGACTACAAACGTGTAATACGGTCACTGTAGTGCTAAAAATGGAATTTAGGCTCCCAGCTCCCCTTGGCACAAAGTAATATTATCTTTATTCTAAAATTAGGAATAAACCATTTGGAGGCTAATGCGAAACATAGGGAACCATTAGAAGGCCATTGTGCATGCGCGGCAAACACCACACTGCGCCAATCAGCATCTCCTCAGAGTGTTACTATATCAATGCCACACTGAGGAACGCTCAGTGCCTCCATGCAGAGCGCGAAGACGCTGAATGTTCGTGTTCTACACCGAACAAGCAAGTACCTCTAGTAGCCATCTGAGAGACAGCCACTAGACGTGTTTCTAGGCAGTAAAACACTGCCTTTTCTCTGCCTACATTAAAAAGCCTGCAGAGACTGACTATACTCACCAGAACAACTACATTAAGCAGCACCCGCACATTAAGCTGTACTCTATATCTTTTGGAGAATTAAATACAATGTTCTTTCCATTAGAACAAGGCATACATCATTTGGAGAGGAAAGCAAGCTGGTAAAGTCCTACTGACATTGTGTTAATGATGCAGCACACAGAGGTAAACAAATATAAATAGATTGATAGACAAAGACAGACACTGTGGCAACAGTTTCACCATCCACTTCTCCAGAGAAAGAGGACGCAGTAATCAACTTCCAGAAACCACTAAAAAGCCAGATAAAACGAAGGACAGCAACTCATGTGCTAAAGCCCCAACTACCACCGGTAGAGCAGAAGGAGTTCCAGCGTATGAAGAAGTAAGGAGACAGGGAACTGGCTCAATGACATTTATCCATGCCACAAAGTTAATGTTCTTTGCACACAGGTCTAGAATATCTGAAGGAGGTGGGAATGTACTGAAAGGTCTTATAAGTGTTCCCAGTGTTTTAAAAAAAAATCACATAAAAAGGAAAAAACCATGAACATGCAACAGATTATCCATCCAATTAAGCCTGTAACAACTGTTACTATTTACATTGGTTCTGTGGATATTAAATCCAACTAGAGTTTGTGTCCCTTTATAACTATGGGAGTCTTAACTTTTCTTTGGAAAAAAAAAAAAAAAAAATGTTCTAAACACACGAGCCAACTCACAATAAACCTCAGCCATCATCATTTCTTGGTGTGGAGCAGCATAAGCACAAGCCGCCATCCTCGCTGCTGGATAGGAGCACCTGCTCATTAAAACTGAAAGAAAGCATAAAAACAAAACAGTTAGAAAGTGATGGAAAATTGCAGATTATCAAATCTTTAGTGAAGTAATACATTCAATTTTAATAATGACAGGATGTAAAATGTGATTTCCATTATTTACTGCAGCTCCATTGCAGGAAACCATTTAAACATTAACCAATCAGAAAAAAAAAAAAAAAAAATACAATGCCTCCTCACTGAAAAATCAGGAACAAGGAAATGGTCCTCTCAATTCACCACAGAGCCTAGGAATTCCATCGACACCACATTGAGTTTGGGAGTGTAGTCTGGAGGCTGTCTTGGAGAAATTCTTTGACTCCAATGTCCGTCAATATGTGATCTATTCTTAAGTTAGCTTCTCGCGACTAGAGATCCGCATTTGCATTGCCCAATCGACACACGCACTTTTGGGCCTATTTTCTGAATTCATTGGCATCTAATGGAGTGCCACTTGGGGCAGGGTTGCATCTCAGCCAGTGGTCCACTCAGAGCCACATAAGGGACCATAGTCTGATCAAATTCCAGTGTTAGGCTCACCTTGTCCGGTAAAGCCACTCTGCTCTAAGGTAGTCTTGCCTTAACAATAAATGGATAAAGTCACTTTAAGCACTGGACGGGAACAGCTTCCTGACTGGAGATGGTGAAAATTGAACACAAATAGCCAGGGATCCAGGATCAGCTCCCTGCAGATCTATTATTGTCTTGTGTGTGGACCTAGTTAGGGTTATGGCAGGTATCTTCTAATCCATAATTTGACGAGAATTACTTCACTTGCAATAAATCTTGCCTAGTACAGTAAAGGTGGGGGAGGTGGACAATAATGCACACAAAAAATTAATCAGATATAATTGAGTATATAGCAAAGAATGCTCTCTGGCACTATAGGGTATCCATAATGTGTGATCGCTAATACAAATGTATAGTCACTTAAATTGGAAGTGACAAATGGGGCACACACCCATGCACCAAAATGGGGGACAAGAGCAGAGCCGGCATAAGTCTGATATAACATGTAAATGTTCAGGAGCTCAGTATAGTGAGGAGACAACAGTCTAAGCTGGTATAGAGCTGCAAAGAAAGGAAGTCTTCCCGGTGAGGAAGCATTTTAGATCAGTTTTTTCTTCTAGTTTCGGATTGGTTAATTTTTATTTGGTGTGTTGCAGTAAAGCAAATATGAAGCCTCCTGTCATGATGTAAAATTGCTGGTTGTCAACAGTGCATGGTAACATTACAACCATCATGATACTAAACCAGCCAGACTAGATAGTCTAACAGATCAGGTTATGATGGATCCTCAGATTTATACAGAAAATATTCATGTATCCTCACAACTGTAGTTCCTCCTAGCCGCACTTCAAAAAGTGTTATAATGGGAGGGGAGGGGGTAGGGGGGTTCATTCTGGCTAATCTTGGCTGGTGACCATTTTTTTTTAATTTCTTACATGGAGTTGGGATATCCAAACGCACAGGAGGACCGTCCACAGCCTGCTTGGTTTCTTTATTGACCGCCACGTAGGCTGTGAGAGTGGAGATCACACCAGACTGGATGCTGGTCTCCAAGATACTCTTCTTCACTTCATCTGAATCAGATTCTAATCCATTCTCCAGATTGGAGATCAAAGCCTTGGCAGCAAGTCGGTGGATGGTTGATCTAAGGAGGGTGGGGATTGCAAGACATTTAGAATTGGTCAATTTAAAAAACCACACCCAGTCTCTCGTGTTGTCCTCCAAGTTATCTTAAAAGGAACATTAAAAGGCACCAAAACCACTTCAGCTTAACGAAGCAGTTTTGGTTTATAGTCCAGGCCCCTGCAGTTTCACAGCCCTAGTCACACCTCCCTGCATACGACTTACACAGCCTTTCAAAACACTCCCTGTAAAGAGGCATCTATTGTTTACATTTCCTTTATTACACAGAATTGCTTGTCTCCCGCTCTATTAACAGCTTTCTAGGCCCCACAGGAGCCTGTGTGTTTAAAGTTTAATTTACAAAGCCGGTGATAAAAACCTTCAAGAAAATAAAAAATTTGTTTTCATGCAGACTGCATCCGTCACAGTCAGGGGAGGTGTGGCTAGGGTAGCATAAACACAAACAAATTTGATTTAACTTGGAAATTGCAGAGAACGGAGCAGTGAAAATGCCGAGGTATGATCTATACACAGCTGCTTCATTGAGCTTCAGTTCTTTTGATTACAAAAGGAATACAGAGTTAGGAATACAGATTTGTATTCCTTTGGCACTACTCACCTCTGCCCCCTACGTCACAGAGGAGACTTCCTCAAAGATGGTCCTATCCAATGCTTAAGAGTCACGTGACCGGGTTTTACTTTATGCAGCGAAAGCGCCTCTAGTGGCCGACTGGTAGTCAGCCACTAGAAGTGGACTTATCCCTGCAGTGTAAATACTGTGGTTTCTAAATAAACTGCAATGTTTTATAATACATGGTTAAAAGGACAAGTACATTGCACCCAGACTACAAAGAGTTGAACTAGTCCGGGCAACCCTAGTATCTGTTAATAGGATGTTATCCTAACCAACACCCATGAACAAAAGAGTTAGTGTGACAGCACTCCAGAACCACTAGGGGCAGGTTTCCTTTGGTTATGAAACAAAGAAAATTCTGTAAGTGGGTATAAAGTCCAGGCATTAAAACATCTCAATAGATTTTTGGGAGGCTACAGCCCCAAAATGACCATTAAATACAATTGCCAAAATTACCAATGTATTAGGGATTTGTAAGAAACATTGATTCTTGTCACACCTATGGTACATGTGACATTAAAAAGGCAAGACATTGCAATATAAGGGATGTTACCATTTCCAACATTATAGGTAATCCTAAATAAGTGGCCAGTAAGTGCCACTATTTTACACGATATGAATCTTTTTAAATGACAAATAACGGATGTGAATGAAGTGGGGCATGGGATTGCATGCTGAATAATTATATAAATAATATTACACCAAAAATAACAGCAGGTAGTCTTGTGGTGGGTGTCCATGAAATAGAATGACTATTGATCGCACAAAGCACGGCCAATAATGGTGGTTTTATAACCCACATGGCAACGTGCAATGTATTTTCAACAGCAAAGGAACACCAGGAAATCGGCCCTTCTTGTCGATCTACATGCAAACATGAGATACAGGCTTTGAGGTCAGATGATCTGCTTGTTGTGGTTTAAGATCTAAAAGCCTTTGGAGAGACACAAACCCATGTCATCAGGAAGGCAGAGTTTCTGCTTCTACATTTTTTGTAACAATTCCAATAAGATGTTAATATACATCAGTTAACAGACTGCAATGTTCCATAAAGGGTTAAATGATCTACACCAGGCTTTGTTGGAAGAGTCAAGAAAAACCAAGCACCATTATATTCCCCAAACCGCAACCATACGTTTTCACTCAGATTTATCAAGTCTTGCAGCCAGTCATGGGCAGAGAACTCTTTATCCATCTACTTATTTTCATTTCTACCTCCATCCGCTATAGCACTACTGTCCGATTGATAATTATTGTACCTTCTATGCTTCACTCTTGCTTTTTGTTAAATGTTTATTTTTGTTAGTGTAGAGTTATTGCACGTATAATCTTGTTGTTATTTTATGTTCACTTTTTAGAACTTTCACCCATCTGAGCTCTCCCATTCCCTTATGTCTTGAAATTGCAAATCTTTTCCCCACCGCTTTCCTTGATTGATTTTTCTCACCTCAATAAGTGCCTCCACCCATAATCGCCATTTTATCTAACCCCCAGACAGTGTCTAAAATAGCAATCATAGGTATTTACCCAGGACAGAGCTAATAAGTCTTGAAGCCAGAGCCATATGCAAAAGTAGAATTTCTGTAAAATCAAGGATTTTATTTTGGCCTCAGATCCAGTCTGTTGCCAAATCCTGCCAATCATGCCTATAAAAAAAAAAAAAAAAAATTCTCCCAAAAGCTTGTTCATGCTCTTGTAACTTCTCACATGGAACAGTCAGTCCTTACATTGGCTGCCGCACCCTTTAGGACATTGATTCAAAATACTAACCCTTCCCTCTACCGGGGCAGAGGGCCTTACGAGACACTGCCTCGCACGACGACCACGCAGGCTGAGGATCATCCACGGGCAGTTGAATCTAACACCTGGATCCTGCACGCAAAGCGTGCTAGCTTCCTGATATATGCATTGTCGGCTAGGCAACCTATTTTTTTGTTCATCTTATATACTTACCTTTTGTCTCCCATATCTGGGAAGTAGCTAGACAAGCGCCAACGCGAGCTTCTAGCTTGATTCTACACAGGGCTCCCTCAATTTTGTGTGTTGTGGCTTGCTAGGCCCTTTAAATTTGGTTCGGTTTTATAATTCGGTATACCTTACACGACACTCCACCCGTACATGGAGTGGAGCTTCAGTGGTTAATCTTGCTTATTGGTATAAGCTACTACTCAGCATTCCTATTTATGTGTTTATTATTTCAAAAACGTGCCATTTTCTCCTATGAGATTTTATGAGAGACACCTGTTACACTTATTACCATATATTCTTGCCAAAATGTCTTTATGTTCAACTATGCACACAAAATAAAGAATGTAAAAAACAAAAATACAACAAACCCTTACATATAAAAGGTCTAAACCAGCTCTTCACCAATTCATAGGTACACCCCTTCTAGGTCTCTCTGCTCTGCCAGTGACCGTCTCCTGTCCGCTGCTCGCACCCTTACTGCTAATTCTCGCTTGTAGGACCTCTCCTTTCCTTTGGAACACACTGCCTACTCCTATCAGACTCTCCCCTAGTCTTTAAAATGTTCCTCAAAACCCACCTCTTCAGAATAGCGTATGGTCTCCGCATGTAATTTATTTAATAAATTAAAAGGGCCCCAACTCCACTCACCTTTTGATTCTGATACTTCCCCTATCGATTTGTTGCCATCTTCCAAGCTTCCCTTCCTATGCTGTGTATTTATATCCCACCTCTTCTAGATGGCAAGTTAATATGAGCATGGTCCTAAGCAACCTATTGTTCCTGTAACATTTTGTAATGGTCTCACCTATTGTTAAATTTACTTTTCCCTGAAAAGGGAAATTTCCCTGAAAGCCCTGGACCGCCAGTACCACATCCTTTGAATGGCAAAAAACAAGCACAAGAAAATAGCTACCTCTTGACGTCTGAGAAGATCAAAGAAAATGGTAACGTGTTCTTGAAAGTTTCTTCGTTGAATTTGTACTCAAGACACACATTCCCATCTGAAGCATCCTCCACCTAAGACAAAGAATATGAACAGTTCAAAGTGGAAGAGATTCTCCATCTATTCCTATGAATTCATAATTTCATCCATCAGAAGCAAGAGTAGATTCTATGGAAGACCTACTGAAATGCTGGTTAGGGTTCTAGCGATTGGAGATAGACCGGGTAGGAGAATTGGGATTGGGGAACTCCACAGACCATCATAACTGCTCCTGCACCAATAACCCTTAATGCCTTCTACGAGCACACATACGGCAAATGGGTGCAACAGAGTCAATACTAGCACATTCTCTACTGCTCACACTGTAACCAGATTGACATACCTTTCCTGTGATTTGGGCATAGACAATGCATCTCTGACCCTGGAAGATGACATTGGGGGTTCTGGAGAGCAGAGTGGCCTCCAAGCCAGGAGGAAGGGTCCACTGCAGAGAGATGTCCTTCACTGTGGGCTGTAAGGAACGTTTCAGGGCCTGAAGGACCTATTGGAGAGATTGTACAGCTGTATTAGTTCTTTGAAATTAGACTATATTATACACAACAAGCATAAAAAGGAACAAGTCAAGCACCCTAACCACTACAACAGCAAGCCTGGAATGTCTTTCAAGTAATCAAATCATTTGGGAATGGTCCGACATCTAATTTCGGATCCGCTCCCCTCATCTACGAATGCATTGCAGGTCTTCACTCACACAGAGCTTATGGCTCTCCACTGGCAGTAGCGGTAGAGCTTATTTGACAGAAAGGAATATGAAGACAAGACAGAATACGGTCCTTTTGATATGGACACATACTCTCAGACGACGATAATTACCCAAAGCTCTTTGCAGGAAGTATTCCCTATTGAGAGTGGCACTGATCAGGGAGCCACATTCGTCTCTTTGCCAGTTCTGCAAAATGTAGATTTGTTATATCTTGCATCAAGCAATGCGTTGTACGGGTTAACTTTTGCCCCTTTATATGGATGCATTGTAATGCTGAACAAGCAGCCCAGTTTTAAGTCTTACATTCTCCTTATGGGACATATTGCTGGGTGGATTAAAATCATCATGCTGCTCAGATTTAAGTTAGTTTGGAAAATTCTAACACCCTTTATGGGGACCATTGTACCCCACCACATTGGTTGTGCTTGGGAACTGAGAAATTCCACAAGACAGCTCACTCTATAGGTTTTCCCCACCAACACCAAGAGTTAAGCATATGGACATTCCTCTGGTATGTTTTGGACTTTAGATTACCCTCCAACAAATTCATTCAAAACAATGTGGAAATAAATGTATAAAAGAAACTGCAATATGAACAATAGTTAAATAAGGAGACATTGCATTATTGCAGTTATAAGCAAGACACAATAAAACTAAATAAATGTGATTCAGAACTGCTCAACAACCAGTGATCGTGTAAATATTTTGTGTTGGTGAATCACCCACAAGATGGCTTTTTTTTTTAGCAATATCTACATTTACAGTTATACAGTAAGTGTTACAATGCACATTTATACATTAAAATCTACAGGTTACCTTGCCCTGCATTCTCTCTTTTCCGGTGATAAATTCTGCCGTACCATTACCCGCTTGGGCCATACCTTTAATCAGAGCCGTGGAGGCTCCTTCACCGATCCCAAATGTAAAGCACCTGAAAAAAAAAACATTATCCAGAGGAAAAATTAAATTACAGCAATCTGCGGCAACAAAGGACAAAATGCCAACAGCGACCCCAACCTCACATGGTCACCCTCCCCCTAAACATTTGTATATCGTAAAGTTAGAATCTTTATGAAATACTCATTTTAACGGTTAGAATTTCACTGAAATACACAAAGTATTCCTCCTCCACCTGACTTTCTTAAACTCAAGGCGGAGTACAAGTCAATTCAGACAGTGACGGATGAAGGGAATTAATGGTGTCTATGGAAGATCCAGCGGTCTCCTCTACAGACCTCAATGATGCATTCTTGCGCATGCAAAAAGAGTACAGCAGCAACATTGGCTCCTGGCACATTGAAAAAGTGCCATGCCCACTGAATATTCACATTTTGCCTTGTATTCAGTGTTCCCAATGTTTATTCTCATGATTTTCCTTGTACTCTGTTTCCCCATGTATCTATATGGAATTGTGTTGAAGGTGTGTGCCTTACCTGCTCCCAGTTAGGGAGAGCTCATACCAACAGGTTCTGTTCTGCTCCTGAACGGGGACCACTACAACACCTCATTTAGAATGTCTATTCAGAATGTTCCCACCTCGCTAACTGCAAGGGAAAGAAGCAGTGCTTGCTTCCCCTGTATGGCAGACTGTTCGTATAACCGAACACCAACCAGGTGAAGCATTCGTATCTCGAACCGGCATACGCATACTGTCTCCGGTACCCTTGTCGGGGATAGTCCTACCCGCTCCCAACAGAGCTATGGTCACTGGCAAGGCTTGTAGCTGCCCAGGAGAGTGCCCTCTCCAGTGAAAACCTACCGGAGAGAGGGATGCGCGCCAACAGGGAATCTCTGGAGCTGTGAGTCCATCTCCCAGCAGAAGAGTCCCACTGGCCGCATTGAAGTCCATGTGGACCAGAGGGAGAGGGTGCGCCCATTCAAACTGGATTGGTCACTGCAGGGCATAGGTGACCAGTCAGTGAGGGAGCATTGCACCCTTTCTTCTGACTGGGCGGCAAAACTCCACTTCTCCCAGTGAATGGATTGATGCAGTTTGGTTTTGCGCCATTCAGTTGATTGGTTGTTGCTTGGTTTAGGTGCAAAATTGGAGTTCACCGCACTAAACCAAGCAACTTCATGGAACTAATTTGAGATGTACAGAGTCTCAAGCCCAGAACTTTAGACTATGATTTATCTGGCTCTGTTCATCAGATCATCCCACTATTTGTAGGGATCCTAGTGGGGACACGGGGCTGTCTATCAATGTATGTTTCAACACTGTAACCCCTTCCCTTCCCGGGGTGCCGAGCCCCAAAGTTTACCCCCCCCCCGCCGATGTAATGTGTCTTAATGTTTGTCCCTGTGTACTGTTGGTATCTCGCAGAGCAGCTGTGACCCAGCCCCCTCCTGCCTGGGATTGTGTGGTCCTGAAAGGAGACCCCCTGTGGGGGTCTGTGCATAAAAGAAGCCTGTTTACAATAAAGATTGTCAGTGTTTTAACCTTCAGAACTGTGTGTCATCTGGTTACTGGAGGAAAGGAAGATTTAACCCCCGTTTCTGCTGTTCCAGCTTGCAGGGGATGCAGTGGGGAAAGTTTTTGTAAGGACTAAGAGCTTCCAGGACTGGGCGCAGTCCATGGGAGCGCATGGAGCCAAGTCACCTAACCCTGTAAGGGTTCCTGATCGACTGAAGGAAGGGAACTAGCGGAGGTAACCGGCTGCAAGTAGTGGCATACGTGTGAAATCAAACTAGAAAGCGTTGAATGGCATTCACCGGTGATTTGCGGCATTCTTTTGAACCTCTGATATCACTTGCTTTGTGTTCCCGACTTCTCCATCCGTGAAGACGAAGAGCTGAAAAGGAAAACACTGTGGGACACAGATCCACCACAAACATAGGACTCATCCTGCCTAATGAGCAGCCTTCTTTTAGGGATCATTACCCATGTTTTGATTTTTGAGTCACAAGTAATTCATGTTTTATTGTGATACATTTACTCCTTTTATCAACACAAACATTTCATTTATCTCCCCAGTTATGGTTTGGTCTGACATACCCTACAGATCTAATTGGTTATTTTCGATTTTGTTGTGGCAGAATTTCCCTTTTGAATGTTTATAGCTCAAATTTTTTTTTATTTTTTTTTTATTTTTTTTTTTTTTAAACACACCATTTTAAATTAGTTTTAAAAGGTGATTATAACCATCAGCAAGTTAAATGTGAATTTAAATATTGTATTAATTACATTATTGTACACTACAACTAAACCTGAACGCAATTTAGTTATTATAATGGTTTGTTTTTAAAGAAAAGATTTACAATATTTAGGAGTGCTTTGCCACTCATGGTGGAATGAGAGCCCGGGTACATTATGTTAGATTGATGACATGCAGATCTAAGTCCAGATCGAATGATAGTTACCCAATCTCTCGGGTGTTACCTGGCGTGGCTGCCCTGGCCTGCCTGCTGTTTTATAGATTTTCTGTAGAGGTTGTAAAATCTCAGTTCCTCCTAAGTTAGCCTCCATCTCCGAAACTTTTTTCACAGCTTCATCCATCGACACCTGTGTGTACTCCATGCTTTCCCTGGGAGAATAGAAACCCAAGTGATTTGTGAAATAGATAATGCTTAAACTGGACCTCAACGACACGTCACAAAAACAGTACACTGGGGCCCATTTTGGGTTTTGCACGCGTATAGAATGTAAGATATTATGCTTTACTAAAGATCTGGATTAAATCTAGATGAATAAAGCAATACTTTAATAATTCACCCAAGTAACACGCTGCAGGCATTTACCGGTCCAAGTGACCCATCCTCAAACTGTGACCTATACAAAGAAAGATTTTAAGGGGATCTTTGAAGAAAAAAAAATAAATAAAAGTTTAATATCTGGTCAACTACTCAGCCCTGGAGGTGTGAAGACAAGTCACACACTTTAAGGAGAATACTCTGAACTAGACTGAAAGTCAGTTTCCGACACACACCAGCAAGGCTAAGATGATACTCACGGAAAGAATGACTCAAAACTGGACCCAAAACCATAGATATTGAAATATGAACCCAATGGTAAACTCTTCAACAGAAGGATCAGAGTCTCCTGAAAGACAAGAGCAAGCGAGATAAGGTGCAATATTTCAGAACAGTATTTACAGTTATCTCCCAGAATACAATACAAATCGCCTGGCACCACCCCTGGCGTAATCTTAAACCAGAATCGAGTTCATTAGCCTATCAATATTTAAGCGGAAGATTTAGCATAACTGCAGAGCACTTAGGAATGCTGGAGTGAAATATATTAAGATTAGGCACTCAACCCATTCGGTGTAACTCATTAGGGGAGGAATGGAGTTTTCTCTCGATCGGCTCAGCGTACTGGACATGGAGTCGAGGTTATTGGTAGGAATGGCTTCAAAACTGAATTTTATATGTATCTTGATTCAAAATATAACCAAGAACCATGAGAAGGTGGATTACCAATGGGATAACCATCAGGTTTATTTTATGGGGCTTCGTCCACTCCTTTGGATAAACTGTGCAAGTGCTTTATAACGTGCTCAGTGCAAGACTGTACACAGAACTGCTTATGGTTGATGAATTGCATAGTGTCAGATTTAACCTCCAACGTGTGAGACTAAACAGTGATTAAAGTGCCCAGCGTCTTTAAACAACTCCGTATAGGGTTATAATGCACTGATTGATCCCTGGCCGGTTTGTGGATTTGTGACCTCTACGGGTCCTTAAAAAGTGCTCCATGCAATACACAGTTAAACAGATGCCTGCTAAGTGCTATGTATTGCTTAATTGAGCACGCAGTGCCCTGTTCCACTGATGGCATGTACAACATGCACAAATATAGGCCACAATTTAATTTGTTTTAATCAAATTATTCCACTTTGTTTAGAAAAATCTATATGTTTTACCTACAATAATTCAGACTTTAATAGTACTTGGATAAGAAATAGTTCTTTTTTCTAACAGATGGGATTTACTACTTATGTGAACTGAAATTAATTCAAAATAAAGGCCATCGTTAGCAGCAGTCCACTTACACTACCGCACAATTAATGGCTGTACGGAATCCAACATTTATACATTTTATAAAAATATGTAGAACTTGGCCTCCAAAATAAAATATGAATAACAGGTTCACCTCACCATGCCAGTAGTGCCAGCTCCACATTCACCAATGATGCTTCCTGCCAGCGTAATGATAGCAGGTTTCATCCTTTATCTGACTACCCAAGACAGAAAACCAAATCAAGGCAAAGCTACTTACACAGCGGGATCCGTTGATTAATTCATCCACCCCACAGACCCTGGAGATACCACACCGTGGACAAGAACACCAATGTACTTTCATCTAGGGTGTTGCCCTTTAAGTACGTTCGTGTTAGTCTTGTGAAGAAAAGACTCACCCAGAAGGGAGGACAATTATTTTAGACATGTCAGTAAGAACAATGTGAGAGCCCTGCAGAAGGAATGCTACAAGAGGATACATTGTGTGCATACATCAATTCACACAATCATATACACCTTATTCTACCTAAAGTGCCTTTAACAGTCGAAGGATACAGTTGCTCACACTAGTTTTTAAATTCAAAATGGCATTCTATTTGATCAGGGAAACAGATGTACATATTGTGATGATTAACCTTTGCACTCTGGATCCGCATTGGTGAATTTTCCTCTGAATTCATTGGGCAATCCATACTTCCCGACCTGTCCACCACAAAGATGAACTCCCCACAGTTTGACTGCTCCGATATCACCGGAAAGGTGGGGTAGAAGTTCAACATGACTACTGGCTCTGCCAGCAAGGAACCTTTAAAAAGGAAAAGAAAGTGGAATAATTTAAATCAAAGATCAATACTCTTCAACCTAAGGACAAAATCAACCTACCCTGTCCTCCCACTTTAAAGCAAAACATCTTATAAGTAAAATAACTCATGTGTAGTAGAGATTGGAAGCCTGCACATAAGGCAATGCTAAGCAGGGGATTAAGTCAAACATTGAGTGTACCACATAGGAGTAACAAACATTGCCAATCAACGTGCCCATCTTCCTCGGACTTTGCTTGCTGATGCTATTGGGTCCACCCATAGAGCTCCAATCATTCTATTCTTACAATTTTAACCCCTTCTAGTCTCCCATTTAAAGTAGTGGAATGTAAAGGAATTACAGCATTTTCAGGACATCAAACTAAAAGACCAAAATTTAGGCAGATCAGAAGGTCTGATGATGAACTGGGAAGACTGGGGTGAGAGAAGTAGCTCCATAGAACCATTTGAGAAGAAGAAAAAACTAGGAGAGGCTAGACTATGCAAATTAATCATTGTGCATATTTCTTATATTTCACCCAAGAGTACAAACTTCAAAAAGTTTTCATAAAGAGACAGATTTATTTTAAATATTAAAAACCCAAATGCCATGAAAAGTATAGACTAAATACACGAGACAACGCATGGACCACCTGGTTTAGGGCAAGAGCTGAATTTTGGCAAGATGTTGCACTGGGTGAAGCGTACTTTGCCATATACTAACAGCCAACACGAGTCAGCTGACAGAAACTGGTATCATCCTGTTCAATAGATGCCACAATCTTCCTCTAGATTGCAAGCTCCTTTGAGCAGAGTCTTCAACCTATTTTTCCTGTAACATTTAGTTATGGTCTCCTTTATTGTTAAAATTTCCCCTTTTATAATGTTCTAAAGTTCTGCTTACTATATTGGCAGTTATCCTAAAATATATATTTCTCACACTGTTTAGTTTGTGGATGTTAACAACCACAGATTAAAGCAGGCAATCTGAAGGTGTATTCATAGTCACAAGAGCCAAGACAAACAAGGCATGTCACTATATAAATACTTCATATGTTTATTCACTATCCGATATTCTAGATTTAAGGCAAGAATAACCATCCTAGGTATTCAAGTTTAGAAAAATATGTGTATAGTATTTATTTTACATATATGGCATTGGATGTGCTATATTGTTTTTGTTCTTTTAACCAACAGTGCTGGCTTCCCATAGGTCCTAGGCAGTGGCATGGGCCTTCTGCTCAATACCGCCATGTCTATCTCTAAACATCTTATACAGTAAACACTGCTGTGCCAGTCGGCTGCTTCGTACCTCAAGCTCTAGAGAATCTGTGCAGGTTTTACATTCATGCAGACATACGAATGGGAAAAAGGAGAACAAAACACGGCTAGAAGACAGGCATTGGCTTCTGATTACCTTACCTGCTTTGGCTTCTGAAAGCCCCGCTTCTAATGTCACACTAGGTTTGTTCACCTCAGCGTAGTAAGTAAGAAGTTCTAAGTCTCGCTCAAACTTGTATCCCTCAGCCAGAGACACCTAGAATACAGAGTAATGCAAAGATAAAAAAAAAAGTGTTGATGTATCTTGAGGTTTGGTTGCACATGCGCTAAGAAGTCTTCTCCAAGTCTCCACACCCAACATCTGTTAAAGGGCATTTCAAAGTGTTATTTTTCCTTTATCACTATAGATTTTTTTTGGGTGTGGAGGGGGCTCACTGTCTCATTGGACTGCAAGTTTGTAGGTGGAAGGAAAGTCAATGACTTACCACAGCATTGATCAGTGAGAATTTATAAACGACTGGGTCGGCCAGGTCTAAGTCAGTGCTGCACATAGAACTATGTGGTTAGAGCCAAACAAGCTCTGGCAGATCATGAGTCCCAATGGGACTTTAGAGATCTGCTTGTGCAACCCGAGCAGTGATTGGAGGTGGTGAGGGACTGTCCTCAATTTATGCATTGCAGCACTTAGAGGAAGGCTGCCTACCCCTGCACTATATGGAACCTGGAGTTTTTGTATTTTTATTACAACAATAAATGCCATTTCTATTAAAACAAATATATGCAGTGGATATTCCTTTTTTTAACACCTTTCCAGTTCAGGGATTAAAGGGTTACTCCTAGCACCATGACCACTTCATATCACTGGAGTCTGTATTTACTGGGTTTCAATATAAAATTCTGCACATACAGAGATATTTTATACTGCAGTCAGGGGTTTAATGCCACCTCTGGTGACATTAGTCATCCTGGAACACTTGTTCTGTGCTTACTTCCATGGACAGAGGGTCATTCATCAACTAATAGCACTCAGTCAATGAATAACGGATGGGATTCTGCCGAAGACCAATGTCAGTCACCCATAGACTCACCAGCTATGGCGGAGACGAGGTAACAGGGCAAACTAAATGGTTTACCTTATTAGAGAATGGTGCCAGGGTATTCCTGGCATAAAAAAACAAAACAAAAACTCATTGTTAGTTATGATGCTTGGAGTAACCCTCTAGACTTTCAATGTCACCTAGTAACAATTCGTATTACATCCTTCATGTTATTCATGGTGACCGGGAATTTAACTGAAAGAGGATAAGCATTGTTATGGCGACAAGAGACTGCACTGCATAGCAGGTGAAAGTTATTTCAGAGGTGGCTCACCTTGGCAGATGTTTTATCATCGTTGGTGTATTGGATGGGCGTGATCTCACAGTTAGACTCAATCTTGGAGATTCCATAAGAGTAAGTGAAATGAGCATCCAAAGACAGTGTATATGGTATCTTTCCAATTGGCACACGTGGAATATCAATAGTGACGCTTGGGTCCTGATCTATATTTAAAAAAATAAAAATAAAGTATTGTAGCAATGTACACATTGACATCGGGATGCTACCAGAACAAACCGTTTAAGATAAACCATAGGAAGCTCCAAACCCAACTGCTAGCAATCCCTGACAGCTGCTGGGAACTTTAATTCCTACGACAGACTTAGGAATTTGTACGGATGAATGGAAAATGGCACCATGGAGAAAGGTTTACTCAGACTGGGTATTTTTGGAAACTGGCAATACAAGAAGTTTTGAAGTATTTTTCCCATAATGCTAAGTGGGATCAGGTTTTCTGAGCATCAAGAGTAATTAAAGACAGTCAAACACCTCCAATGTTAGCCTATGTGTGGACCTCATTTCCTATGATGCTCAGAAAACCTTTCAGATCTGAACATCATGGAAATTAAGTCAGCATAACAGAAATTGAATATACAAGAAAGCAACTGTAATATCAAAGTTTGGCTTGCTGTACCTTCGGGAGTATATCGCGGGTTCAGTACGGCCGGCAGGACAAAGCGCACAGCTCCGTCAGCCTCCACCGGCAGCTCTCTTACATAGCACAGAGTCACGTCAGCTTCCTGGCCTGGAAGCAGGTTCCCCACGCTGCAGCTGAAGACGTCACCAGCGCTCTCGTCTTCCTCCAGTAGGAACGCCTGTTGCCCCTGGCTGATGGCTTCATCATACGTTTTGTGAGCCTGGGAGAATAAGACACAGACAGGGTTACTCACTGAACCACAATTTTTTTGTGATCAGACCAGACCAGAGTGTTGCAAATTTTATGTGAACTAGTCAGAGAATTTTTTCAGATTTGGTAATTTTGCAACTCTTACATTTATTGAATAGCCAGTAGAAGATAATCAAGTGAAATAGTTCACTTGTGTAAGCTGCTGCAGCATCGAATATACTAAAGGTTACTGTGATTACCTGCACTTTTACTACAGACAGACGTAAAAAAACTTTGATGTTTAAACTTGTGTTTTTTGTCTACCTCTTTCTTCTCTTGAATTTCTGCTATAATCTTCTTCCCTTCCACCATCATTTCAAAGTTGTATACAGCAGAGTCATTATCCATGGGGAACACAAAGACAGCTTCCACTGCATTCTCCTCCGAATTCTTATATTTGAGAGTCGCAGATACATCGGCCACAAAGCCTCTCACCTGAACATCCACCAAGATGCTTTTTAAGGGGACTGAAAAACAGAACAAAACGCGTGATATTTAAAGGAAAAAAAAATATATATTAAATTGATAAATACTGCCGAATGACCCAGTGTGCGTCTCTCCAGAAGGGGAGCAAATTGACAGACAAAAAAATAAAAATAAAAAAAATTTTTACTGGAGATTTAGTCGACTAAAAAAACTATTCAGATTACCAAAATATTACTAAAACTGCTTTTTTAGTCAAAAGAATAGGACTAAAACCAATTTACTGCTCAAAAGGAATCTTATACTGGTTCTAGATATATGGCTTCCAATCTATACCCATTTTCAGATATAGTATTATCATGAGCAAGCACTAGAGGGCTTGTAGCATGCCAGAGAACCATCACTGAAAAGTTAGAGGCTGCCAGCTGTTCCCTAAATGACCTGGAAATAAATCTGGAAATTAGCTATACTGTCAGCTATTTGCCAGCCCGGACCAACTACCGCATAAAAAGTTAGAAGCAGCAGAGCAGACATACAAAGATATAAAGAACGAGGCACTCCGAGTCCCCAGTTTAAATTACAGGATTATTGCCAGGTGGGTCTCGGGTCGCACTACCTAGAATAGTTAATCAAATGCTCCTTTTACCACTAATACAAACATTATTTAAATCATCTTTACAGATTTCCTACAGCTACAGCCCAACCCATCGAACGACTAATCAACTGCCCTACAGCAAATTCCTTCAGATATAAAGAAATGGTTTCCAGACCTAACAAACTAGAAAAAAATTCCAGAGAGGTAGCAAAATACCATCACTTAAAGACAGACATAACACAAACGTGTTCCGTGTAGACATAAAAAACAAAAACTGTAAAGCAGCCATTGTAGTCAATTATTTGAAAGATTCCAATGTCCAAATAAAGGCATTAGTTGAACGTTCACACATCATTCTAGAATTGTGCTTGTAGAATAGTGTGTGTTGGAAGGGAAACTCAAATATATAGGGATTTCAACCACAATTGAAATTCCCATTTCAACAGATTTGCAGATAGTAAACATGAGTTTATTTCAAGCCATATGCGTGAATATTGTACTTCTGGTTTACAATCTGTTTTCACGTGCAAATACTAGATCAAGATCTACATAAAGTTTACCAGGGGGTAGAGCCAAGCTCAGACGCAAGAATGTATTGTAAGCGACCTATGAAATAACCTGCAGCATATCAACATCCAACCGGGCTTAAAAATAAAGATGGAACCCTCCAAAAGATCCCTCTCGTCCCAGCACACCTTGGGGAAACATCCAGCAGGCAAATCTGTTGCCCTAACAAAATTCTTCCGTGATAATGCGGTCAACAACCGCGGCACCTCAGGCCTCAATATGGTGCCGGAGTCCTCACAAGAAGGATCAGCGCCATTGAGTCCAAAATGCTTCCCAGGCTCGGGATATCCAGGAGGCTATTGGGAACTTGCCTTCAAAGAGCGGTGTCGCCAACATGGTTGCTGTAGTGGAGCGGCAATATTAAATCCCACGAACTCCGCTGGTAAAGAAAGTAATCCAAGTCAAGCGCTGAAAAGCAAGGCAATATCCCAAATCCCCCAGTAACCGGACAAAACAGTTCTGGGAGTCAACTCAGGTTTTTATTCACAGCATCCAGTATTTATGCAAGGGGTTTCCTTACTGACCTAGTAGGGGTAACACAGTAGGGGACTTAACATTCTGGGCATTTCTCCCACCATGCACTGCTGGACAAGAGGGATACTCCCACTGGAATATACCTTTAAGTGGATTATCCCTCCGTGCAGCAGAACCGACAATTCACATTAAAATCTATAACTTTTACAATACTTGGTAGATTTAAACGAATGGACGTTCGGTAGATAGCTGAGGTCTGAGCGCACCTTACGTGAGAATACCGCTCAGATCCCAGGTAAAACAACCGAACGCCGCACGAAAGACACTTTGCCCAAGAGTTCACCTGAAACTACCGAAAACTGATGGGAAACCGTAATAGGGGAATACCGGAGCTCCCGAACGGCCTGGAAGTCCAGCGGGGTTCGCGCCTTAGAGTAGCCGATTTTGCCTCCATGCGCTCGATGACCAAACCCCGCTGGTAAGACAAAGGATCCAAAATGGCCGACCGCCGCGTGGTCGGTAGCCGAACGACGGCCACCTAGGAATGCCTTTAATTTAGTTAACGAGCGCCACATGTCCCTCTGTGTGTGGGCTACTAGGGCATCTCTCATTCGGTTCACGAACAGCCTCTAAGTTGCTGTAATAAAAACAATATACTGGCGCTAAAAGAAAAATTGTTATACAATATCTATTAAAAATGACACTTTTTAAGAATAGCTGCTGTTACACCTAGATGTAATCTTTCTTACATCAACTAAAATACAAAGAAAGGTGTAGCGCTACATACATATATTCGGTTCGGCTGAGCCTGATCAGAGAATATTCGTCCCAATGAAAAAAGGTCAAAATAACATGCGGAATAGACCTATAAAAAGTGAAAAGAACTCTAATAGTGTAACACTGTATATACTAATAACCGTGTATATCAAAGTTAAACAATACACTTACATCCTCCTGAGCTTAACACCAAGCTCAGGGATAAGCTGAGCAAAGTTGGAAGCCATCAGCTCTGATATCCACCACTCTAGAAGATGACAGTGACATACTGTACACACAGATCCAGCAACTGTCAACTCACACACCTCCTGCCTATCAGCTCTTGATCAGGCCCTAAACGACACAGACAAGTGTGGGAGGAGAGATAGCCTGCGTATTAAAAAGACCTACATGAACAAGATAGAGAAGACCTCTCTAAAGCCTTGGAGTTATTCAACTTACTGTAGGGGAAACTGCCTGACACTCCAGTGATACTAGACAGGGTGCATAGAATTCTATGATCCTGAGGTACACCAAGCGATGGGCCTAGAGATAATTTGCATGCTGCACTACTACAGCTTTAAATGGGAAATAATGAGGGCATTAAGACAACTACACAACCACTGCTCTTTCACAGTGCCCCCATACAGATCTACCAGAGCACGGGCATTCTCCGTCCCAAAAAAAAATTAAATAAATAAATAAAAAAAATTACAATTGTAAAGATTTAACCAAGGACTTGACTTACCAGAAATTAAAATAGCATATTGGTATGGCATGTCACAAGCTCTCCTGTCCCACACATGCCACAATTTCAAAGATGGCAAACCCCATCGAAACACTGAAGAAACAAACAAGGAGATCGACTACAGCAGCAACAAGGCCCAACATATCCAAGCATCCATCTCCCCTCTACCCACTTTTCCAACCTGGACTAAGGTTCTCCTCTTTTGACTCCTTACTCGAAGGGAAGTCTGACTATCCAAGTCTTAACACGCTTCTCACTGCCAGAGGAGACAAGCCCATCGCGGAGGTGATCGCGTCCACTGATCCCTCACCTCCAACTATACAGTTATCAAGTATCCTACTTCCTGCATAACACACCCACACTATTACAGGGCAACAGAAACATCTCACTGTTTGAACTACACCAGTCTATCAAGTCTAAACACCTCTCCATGTTTTATAAACGTATACAATCTAACATTTCCTGAACGACCCAAATTTGTCACTTTGGACAGAGGACCTCCAGATAAATTTCACAGACACGGAAATCACAAGGTTATTCTCCAATATATTCCATTCTTCTATCAGTAACTCCACCCACGAACATAACTAAGAATCTCCAGATAGCACTACAAACACACATACGACTGTTTCCGACCTCCCCATATACACGCTCAAGATGCCACCAGACAAGGGGTACTCCTGGACACATTTTGTAGTCATGTGATACAATTCGAGTGTTCTGGAAAAAATACTAGCACTAATACATTTAATCATGGGAATCACGCTACCGGTGGATCCAAAGGTTGCTTTATTCTTGCTTTACCCCATTACCATCCCAAAGCCTCCCTAACTCTAATCAACCATCTTAGTACTTTGGCAAACATGCTGATCCCCATTCACTTTTAGAAAAAAGTCCAGCACCCTCCATCAGAAAGTGGAAACAATTATACTTGTTGAAGAAATACATGCATCCCTAACATAGAAACAAACATAGAATGTGACGGCAGATAAGAACCATCTCCTACCACCACTACAGAGAGCTGGACACCATGGTTAACTTCCTGTGCCATGGTCAGGCTTGATATACTCAAACATTTACGTATTAACAATTCCTCTCTATGGTCGTGGGAGCGGAGAAATGGAACAATCCCTGGTCCTTCACAAAGTGGGGGTTTTGAGACAGGTCTAAAGTTATACCCCCTGACCACAAGCTCCCATCTCACCATGCCCTTGTACCCATCCCCTTTAAAGCCTCCCTCTCTAACCCACTACTCGGGTGTTCCCTACTGGTGATAAAAACGTCTCAGCAGCTCCTCTCTAATCCTAGGAGCCTGGAAGTCCCTCCTCACAAGCAACAGGTACTTTCTAAACCCACCTTACCAAAATACATATGTAACCAATGATGAAGCTTTGTGCTTAAGCCAGATGATGCAACCAAGCCGAATGTCTGTAAGCTTATCTAAAAAAAAACAACACTTACCTCCCCTTACTGTAACTCACGGAGAAACATTAACATTATTTGTATGTATCTGATGCATTACTGGAGTGGTGAGATTATACCTAAATGTTTGCTTGCATATCTATACAAATTAAATAAAATCAAAGAAAATTACCAGACCTTAAAATAAACAACTGTGATGGGATTCCAGCATGGTCAAAATTTAGTAGGCCAAAATCTCCACGTTGCGCATGCTAATTAGTATCTGATTACAAACAGTTGGATGAGTCATCAGTGTACTGAGCATGTGCGGAAGTGGATAGTACATTCCTTTGTCTTCAACAAGCCATGTGGTCTGCCATATAAGGTGATCCTGAATATCCTGTGTGCTGATTGGTCTGAGGAATATAGGAGGGGTTATACTGTATGGGAGGGGATATGCAGTTAACAAAAAAAAGTCACATGCACCAGGTATTTGTCCCTCAGATCTTTTTGGAACAGGAGTTCATCTGAGACCCGATCGGTAATGTGAATAAAGGCCTCTTACTTCCTGAATACCTGTGTCCATCTCTCTGCGTTTGGCTTCTGCATGCTTACACAACCAACCAACAGATTCACCTGCTTTCTATTTGTGGCTCTATCAAAATCCAGACTAAATGCCTGTTGGATGTGCTAGAAGTCACCTGGCGATAAAATGAAAAATCCTCAGCAGTGCAAGGGTTAAAAGGAAGACACGTTTTATAAATATGTATAATGCTGGAGTGTTACCAAGTTTGCTGAACCCCTGCCAAAGGAGAAAAATTATTCTTATTCTTCTTATTATTAGTCAGGAACACAAACATGTATTCCTGACACTATTGTGTTAACACCACCATCTTGCCCAACTGCCCCCTTTTTATAGTAAAGTCTTATTCCAGTTTGCTGATACAGAATCTGCCCCTGATCTTGGCTGAGCTTGTCATGAAGGCAGATCAGGGGCAGAGCCAGCATGATTCAAACACAGCCCTGGCCAGTCAGCATCTCCTCATAGAGATGAATTGAATCAATGTATCTCTATGAGGAAAGTTCAGTGTCTGCATGCAGAGGGTGGAGACACTGAATGTTGAGATGCACACAAGGCTGCACTGCCCCAGGAAGCACCTAGAGTAGCCTTCTGAGGATTGGCCAGTGGAGGTATCCTTAGGCTGTAACGTGAATACTGCATTTTCTCTGAAAAGACCATGTTTACTGCAAAAAGCCTGAAGGAACTAATCAGAGACCTTTTCAGTCCATTATGCTTCCAGTTAGGCTACCGTGGCATTCAATCTGGCATTTATTTTCAGCACTTTGAATTCTCACTATAATGAATGTACGAGAACGTCACGTCATGCACGGTAACACGGAAGGTGAAGTCTTTCAATTAAAGGCTTCATGAAGAAGAAGTTGCGCTAGCGGCTAATAAACATGCCCATTGTTCTGACTTCAGGGACAGAGTTAATACACCAAAACTACTTCATTAAGTATGTGGCAGCTCTCAAACACAAAAAACCCACAACCCAAACTGAAAATCCTTCTTTAACCCCCATGTGTCACACTGCAGGTGTATTTACTAAACTTAACCACCAGTAGCAATTCTCAACTGTATTACCTCCTCACTTCCTGCACCTTATTATATTAATACCCAGATTTCCATCCCACCTTTCGTATTATAAATCGATAGTTTCAATACATCTGTAACAATTCATTGGTGACGTGTACCGTACGTTATTCTTAACTCCTTAATTGCTGATCACCAAACATTATGCTCTATCTTTAGATGTATCCGTGTTAATCAGGATTAGTAAGGGGATGGAAATGGTGCTTTTATTCCGTATGTGTGGCAGCTTGGTCTTCTCTAACCAGAGTCTCTTCTTTCTGATCATGTGGTTGAGATGCAGAGAAGGGTGCGGGGAGACTGCGCCTGTAGAATTATTCTCAGATCCAAAGTGGTATATAGAATTAACAGAAAACGTAACATAGGGTAGTATATAAATCCTGGTAGAATATGAAAGAACAAAATGCACTTACAATATTCACCAAAGGATTTTATTATTTGTTACTAAGAATGTCCGTGTGAACTACAGTATGTAGGAATGACAACTAGGAATCTTAAAACACGCATTGCAGAACTTTTTAAACCACTCTGTCTAAGCATTTCCTAATTCACGATAAAGACCCCAAGCACCTTAAATTCTGTGCGATAGAAAGTGTTTTTCCCCTCCTGGCAAGCTGGTAACCTCCCCCAATTACTAGGCAGAATAGAAGTTAACTGGGTTTTCAAATTAGACACTGTCTCCTAGAGGGTTAAATGCCAATTTTGACCTTTTTAATTTCTTGTAATTCTCTCTCTATATATATATATATATATATATTTTTGTTTTTATCTTTTTGTAACATCATGGCATATTTCAGCTATTGCTCTTATCACAGTTTTATAGATCTGATTTTAGTCTGTATTTTGAGGGACATTTACTTTTTACTATTTGCCTTTTATTACTCTTAGTCTTATTACTTATTACCAAGGTCCCTTCAGATCACTTTAGACACATTGTCTAAAGTGATCTATATTTTATTTCAATAAATATCTATATTTCTCTGAATCACTTATATTTACATCACGTTTTACATAAAGTTTTAGCTAATTAACTCCTGGCCCCATGACCAATCATACCACCTGTTTTAAAGCTGTCATGGGCCCGGACTGCTCTGGGAGTCCCAGGCCCCACATTTCATAAGTGCGCATTAGACAGCGAGTATTGCTATCTATATGTGCACCTGCGGGCCCTGGCTACCTGTACAGTGTAGACGGGGGCCAGCCAACACCGTCTTAACTTTCCAGCAGCTCCTGTGTCTGTAACTCTCGCGAGCTCTGCGGCCAGCAGAGCATTGTCACGGGTTACCATGGCAACGCTCCACGCGGCATGCAGGCACAGCTCAAGAGTGTTACAGACACAGGAGCTGCTGGAAAGTTAAGATGGTGCTGGGTGGCCCCCATGTACATTGTACAGCGGCTGGCTCCCTCTACCAGACCACCCTAGAAGCCGGGGGAATAAAATGTGTTAAATTTAAATAACACCAAAAAGGTTCCCCCCCACATGCAGCCCCTATTTTACACATTTAAAACACTAAAATCACAACACAAACACTAAAATCACAACACAAACCTCCATCCATTATACAAATGTGCAGTCTGTATCCATTTTACACACCACACAGACAGAGCATCCTTGTGGGCGGACTCAGAATGGGCACTGTGGGCAGACACGGGGCGGGTCTGGGGGGCCCAGACTTTGAACTGTCAGGGGCCCCAAAATATCTGATGGCAGCCCTGTTTAAAAACAGAATAGGTCTCATACTGTAATCACTTTGAAAAAGCCTGTTCTAGGTGAAACGCGTTGTTTTTAATAACTTCCTTTATACCTTTTATTGTGTCCAAATAAAAGTCAGTTTTATACCACCTTGGAGATTTCAGACCTATCTTTGAAGTTTTTTTTTATCCTGAAGACACTCACAGCGACATCCTTGGTTGGATTATACCACCCAAGCCTTTGGGATTGAGCAATACCTGTATTTGCTCTGAGTATATTGCATCTTTTCATCCTGTTCAACATACACAGTGAGCACTATAATCTGTTTATTTCTTCTATTATATGCTGAGGACATCTGACTGCCCATCTGCAGTACAACAACTAAAAGCCTGGGACCAACACTTACTAACAAGCACAAGGATCTACTATCATATCCACAGATGGGGATTGTTCCGTCCACGCATATAAATCTGGAGCTGAACATAAGCTCCAGAATATTGGAAGTGCATTTTGTTCTTTCATAGTCTACCAGGATTTCTAATATACTACACTATATTACGTTTTCTCTGTTTATTCTATATACCACTTTGGATCTAAGAATAATTCCACAGGCGCCGTCTCCCCGCACCCTTCTCTGCATATCTATGTTAATGGTATCTGAAATATCACAATCTGCAGTTTATGCTTATAGTTCATCCTTCATATTATGAGGCGTAGCAGAATTTTGTGGCAGATGGGTACAAAATAAAAAAGTAGAAAAACAAGTTTATAGGCGAGTATGTCCCTTGGCTAGATGCGATTCAGCAGAGTTAATATATTAAATATATTTTACCATGAAAACGTATGTGTTTATTCACGTTCCTAAAGTAGTATGTAGTTTTATAAATGGCTTCTCAGCATACAAAATGGCTGCATCAGGTTTAAATTGTCTTACGATCGTTAAAGGGACACTACAGTCACCAAAACTGCATCATTAAGATAATGTTCCTGCCATTTAGGAGTTAAATCACCTTGTTTCTGTTCTACAGTCCTAGCCACACCTACCCTGGCTGTGACTGACAGCCTGCATGAGAACACAATGGTTTCATTTTCAAATCAGATGCAACTTACCTAAAGTTAAATTTAGAAAGCAGGAGATTAAAAAACCATTTAATTACAAACAGGAGGCTCCTGCAAAGTCTAGAAGGATATTAACAGTGCCGGAGATAAGAAATTCTAAATTAAACAGATTTTGCAATAAAAAATAAATAAAAGTTTAAACATTAGATCTCTTTACAGGAAGTGTTTAGGAAGGCTGTGTGAGTCACATGCAGGGAGGTGTGCCTAGGGTTGTATAATAAAAAAAAATTAAAAAAAATTTTAACTCCTAAATGGCAGAGATTTAAGCAGTGAGACTGCAGGGGCATGATCTAAACACCAAAACCGCTTCATTAAGCCATCATTGTTTTGGGGCCTATAGTGTAGTCACCTCCAAATTTTCCTTGCTACCTCATATCACAACTTGCCATTTTAAATCCACAGATCAGAGGTTGGCAACCTTTGGCACTTCAGATGTTTTGCCAGTATATTAAAAGGATTATAGGAGATGTAATCCACAACTTCTGGAGTGCTGATGGCTGACTAGATGGTTAAAACCCCTTCAGACACCGGAATCCAGCGCCGATGTCCCTTGGCGCTGGGTCAGGTTCCGCCTACGTTCCTCCTCCACTGGCAATGGCCACGTGCGCATTAGACCTCCCCATAGGAAAGCATTAGCGTGAGGACGTCCAGCGTCGTTAAGACAGCCAAAAGTGATCTAAGAAGCCGGAAGTCCCTCTAGTGGCTGTCTGGTAGACAGCCACTAGAGGAGGACTTGTGGTCTGGGTGCCTACAGTGTCCCTTTAATATCCCTATCTGAAGTACAAAAGCATCTTCCATTCACAAGAACAGGGACTGTAGTCCAATGAACACCCCAAAAAAAAAAATAAAAAAAATTGTCACTTCATCCACTAAGACTCTGCATGGAGCTGCGCCTGTTGGTCACTACGCTCTCAGAGGATATGACCAATGTCTGGCAGATTCCAAGTTAGATGTGAAGAGTTGTACAGTGGTTATGGTGCCTCAAGTATACCTTTAATATGGATTTTGTTAGACTAATAAGTCAGACAAATTTAAAATGTTTTCCCATTAAGAGGCACAATTAGAAATCACTAATGTCTACAGTCTGTTGCAAGATCTTTTTTATTCGTTCAAGAGAGCAACCATACATGTGTCAGGACAGACCAGTCGCCCAACACGCAGAATTAAGTAAAACCCGTAACAAATACAAACAGTAACAACGTATTACCGGGCCTTAGAATTGACGGAATTAACATAATAGAATAAACAGTAAATAGCCAAGGTCAGGAATACAGAAAGGAAAACAAATACTGTAAGAATAAAGCCAAAGGGTCAGGGATACCAGAAATACGGGAAGTCAAGCCAAGCTAAAAAAAAAAACAAAAAAAACAAAACAAAATCAGGAACGCGCTCCCGGATAACCAACAGGATGGAAACCACAACAGGGTTTCAATAACCCAGTAAACCTTGCTATTGGCCAATTTGGGTCCCATGACCCCAGAAAGTGCGTGTACGGCGAAAACATGATGCAGAACGCACACGTTATTGTGAACGGTGTTATTCTTTAGCGCAGTCTTGCAGAAGCCGATGGCCCTTCCTATGCTGGACCTGGCCGCTGATCCACAAGCTGCATGGAGGAAGAGAGTGCTCTGGCAGTGAGGTGAGTAACCCCTCCCTCCTTTAGTGTGAGTGCGCTAGTCAGGTGCCCCACTGTGGTGCCTTATCAGCCAAAATCACTGTACACACAGGGTTCTGAATATCGCCAGACCATAAATTCCATTGCAATGATCACAAATAAGAGTGTTAAGGATCTTTATTACCCAATCCCTCATCAAGTCAAATTAAATTCCCACCCATCTGCAGTCAGCCAAACTATCCAATCATGGGACTGACTCTTTGGGAGACATATTGGGGGCAGGGAACAGGGCATGTTCTGGCCACTCGTGATATTAAAGGGTAACCTCAATTACCTACCCCCACTCATCTGACTAAAACATATTGTTTAACTAATGGAGATATATATAAAAAAAAAAAAAAAACCACACACATTTGCAAGAGTGTGCTAAGAACGGACAGCAGCTGAAATAGCCTGCCCTTCAGTGGGTCCCCGCTCAGATCTCAAGCAGGTTATAGCTCATCTTGTGCCATTACAGAGAGATCATATCCGAAGCATATCAGACTGGTCCCACCCATATGGGCAGTCCAGATCCGAAATGCCAGCAAGTTCCCTCTGCACAATGAACACAGCAACCCCAGACGATCGTTTCAACCTTGTTAGGCATAGCTGATATCTCTCTAGGCAAGCGGTCCACGTCTGGATTACCCTTTAAACTTATGGAGAGAAAAAAAAAAAAAAAAGGCACAAGAGTGTCTGCCCGTTCTCTGTATACTCTTGCGCCCTGTTTTTTGTGTGCTCCATATTGTTTTACTAGATCAAGATTTTTCTTTTAAAAATTACCTGGCTTCCTGGAGCACGAGATGATGAGGCCACAGCAAGGACTCATGTTTCAGAAAACCTATGAGAAATAAGAGAAAGTGACAGTTAACTTCTATAAATTGCTCCATTTAAATTACACTGTAGTCACCAGAACAACTACAGCTTAATGCATTTCTTCTGGTGAGTATAATCATTACCTTCAGGAATTTTCATGCAAACATTGCCTTTTCAGAGAAAATGCAGTGTTTACATTTCCTCCAGGGACACCTCCACTTTCCACTCCTCAGATGGCCACCGGAGGTGCTTCCTGGGCCAGTGCTGCACAGGAGAGAGGGGACCTCCTTACACCATAACCTTATAGCTGCAGTCCGGGCTGCCATCCGAAGTTACGGGGCCCCTGACAAAGCACAAGGTCTGGCCCCTCTCCACCTCCCGGGCCCGCCCACGAGTCCGCTGACAATGATGCAGGACTGAATGTGGTGTGTATAGTGGAAGTGAATTAGAATGTGTGTAATGGTGTTAGTGTGTATTAGATACAGTTTGTGCAGTGAACGCGCGTGTGTGTATGTATGTGTAGCAGATGCAGTGTGTATAGTGGACGTAGTGTCTGTATAGTGAATGCAGAGCCGCCATCAGAGGGTGACAACCATGACTGTTGTCATGGAGACAGACAGACGTTTTGGCAGTGGCAGAACTACCTGAGGGGGCCCATGCACTTAGGGCCACTGGATGGGCATATCTCTAAATGGCTTAGTAGATAATCCCCTTGAATTTAGTTCAGGGTATACACCTTTACAAATGTATCTGCAACAATTAGAAACAACTATGCGATACAAAATCTAGCATAAAAAGTGTCAATGTTGCTGATTATAAAACCAAAGAAAAAAAATATATATATATAATATCACAATCCGGTACATATCTTATAGCAGGGTCCAAACTGTGGGGAAGTCCATAAAGTTGTTGAAAACACAGACTGGTGCTGGAGATCCCTTAAAAAAGACAGAAATTAAACATAGTATAATACTGTATTTAATGTCTTAACATAAAAAGGGAATCCCCCTCCCCAACATAGAAACCCTTACAAGAAATAGATGTGGTGCTTATTTCTAAGGACCACAAAAAAAAAAGCTTATCTGGTTGCAGTCTCTTCTATGTCCCAAGTATGCCGTCCGGTTTGCAGATGGAAACAGCGTTTGTCTCGTGCACTGAGGCAGGCTGGATGCTCTGTGAAGTCCTCCCTTCCGCAGATGTAACCTCGGCTGGCACAGGAGACTAGACGTATTGGCAATCTCACCAGATGAAAAAAGGTAAAAACAAACTCCTCAACGCGTTTCACCCCTCTTGTGTGGGCTTTTTCAAGTGCACGAGACAAACGCTGTCTCCATCTGCAAACCGGACGGCATACTTGGGACATAGAAGAGACTGCAGCCAGATAAGCTTTTTTTGTGGTCCTTAGAAATAAGCACCACATCTTTCTTGTAAGGGTTTCTATGTTGGGGAGGGGGATTCCCTTTTTATGTTAAGACATTAAATACAGTATTATACTATGTTTATTTTCTGTCTTTTTTAAGGGATCTCCAGCACCAGTCTGTGTTTTCAACAACTTTATGGACTTCCCCACAGTTTGGACCCTGCTATAAGATTATATGTTCCGGATTGTGATATTATATATATTTTTTTTTTTTCTTTGTTTGGTTTTATAATCAGCAACATTGACACTTTTTATGCTAGATTTTGTATCACATAGTTGTTTCTAATTGTTGCAGATACATTTGTAAAGGTGTATACCCCGAACTAAATTCAAGGGGATTATCTACTAAGTGCTGACAACATAATCAAAAAAAATTCTATTCATTGAATTTGGGAAAATTCTTTTTCTGTTTAGCAGCTGCAATTTGGAGGTACTTTGTACCATTACATACAAGTTAACTATATATCTTTTTTGCGCTCTCTTTCCCACTTTACTATATCTCTAAAGGGGCCCGATCAGTGCTGTGGATTTCTAATAGCTAGACTGGGCCCCTTTAAGGATCCTGGCAGTGCTGGGAGGAAGTGTCACTTCCTCCCAGCTAACACCCATGCGGGAGGAAGCACTGGGGAGTGAGTTAGAGAGAGAGACACAGACTCACATCAGCACCAGCCAGCAGAGTCCACCTTCCTGCAGCCAAAAGGTAAGAAACAGGTGGTTTTAAAAAGTGTGTGTGTGTATGTATGTATGTATGTATCTATGTGTATCTTTCAATGTGTGTGTCAATGTGCACCTGAGTGTATGTGTGTATATCTTTGTGTTTGTTTGTATCTGGGTGTCAGTGTGCACCTGAGTGTGTGTGTGTGTATGTATCTATCGGTGTCTGTATCAGTATCTGTATCTATCAGTGTGTGTATCTTTGTGTTTGTATCTGGGTGTCAGTGTGCACTTGAGTGTATGTTTTTTTTTTTAATTTTTTTTACCCAGACCTGTAGTCTTGTTTTATTATATTTCATTATTTTATAGCAGTGCTGCAGCTTTTATGTTAATGGTTTCTAGTGACTGTGTATTTGAACTTTATGTACACTCCCCCCCCCACAATCCTTTTCACTACTTAGTTGATATGCCCCATTTTTTGTTTTAGTTGGGCTCTATTTAAAGGGACACTCCAGGCACCCAGACCACTTCTGCCCATTGGAGTGGTGTGGGTGCCAACTCCCACTATTCATAACCCTGCAACTGTAATTATTGCAGTTTTTTTTTTTTTAAACTGCAATAATTACATTGCAGGGTTAACTACACCTCTAGTGGCTGTCTACTCTTCCTGATTCATAGCAAAGATTTTCTTTGCTAGAGCGTCGCTGGATGTCCTCACGCTGTGTGAGGACCTCCAGCGTCGCTCAATTCCCTATAGGAAAGCATTGGTTGTTTTCCTGGCACTGGAGTTTTCCTTTAACTGTTTTGATCAGATTGTTACTGTTTGTTTTGGTAATTTTGTTGCAATGTGAATCTTTTCTATTTGGCGCTGAATGCTTTTTGATCTTTACATACAGAATGCAACAATTATCAGAGTCCCGTACCTTTTTATCTTGCACACCCCATCTGATATATTATGTGCATGACCCATTTTAATTTTCTCTCTTTTTTTTTTTTTATTGCTGGAGCGCTCACACTGTTAAGAGATTCTCAACTAAAGTTAATTTTATTTGGTGTAAATCCCATAGACTTTATTGTTTCTCTACTTTTTAAACGATAGATATATGTATCTGTGTCAATGTGTATCTGTGTGTCTGTATCAGAGTGTCAGTGTATGCATCTGAGATGTATGTGTGTATCTATGTGTGTGTCTGTATATTTACATGTATGTCAGTGTCTGTATCTCATATGTATGTGCATGTATGTGTGTGTGTTTCTGTCAGTGTGCACCTTTAGAGTGTGTGTGTGTGTAACTGTATTTGCATGTATGTCAATGTGTGTATACACACACAAATGCACGCCTGCATTCAAACACCAAAATACACACACACACACTCCTTACAAAAACATTCTTACATTTAAACACACATACACTGCTGAGTGCGAATTGTAGATCCACAGCTAGCAAAGCATTCTGGGACTTGTACAACAGATGCTGATCTACATTTTGGCCACTTTACTGCATCCACTAAACACACTGCACTGTGGGCGGACTCATGGGTGGGCTCTGGGGGCCCAGACCATGAGCTTTGTCAATGGCCCCAACATTTCTGATGGCAGCCCTGGCAGAGTGTGTATGCATGTTGTGCAAATGCCTCTCCTCCCACCCCTACATTAAATGTAAAATCTGTTATTCCCCTGCCCCCCCCCCCTTCTTACCTGGTCCAGGGAGGGGGGAGATTCCATCCCTGGCGGTCCAGTGGTATTGTGGGGCCCCCTGATAGTTGTCACCCCCTGATGGCGGCCCTGGCTGCAGTTATAATACACTGTGTGCAGGGAGACAGGGGACCCCAATAGCTGCAGTTATAATACACGGTGTGCAGGGAGACAGGGGACCCCAATAGCTGCAGTTATAATACACAGTGTGCAGGGAGACAGGGGACCCCAATAGCTGCAGTTATAATACACAGTGTGCAGGGAGACAGGGGACCCCAATAGCTGCAGTTATAATACACAATAACCTTGTCCTGATCCCATCTCCCCTGCGAGTAACAAACAAATCTTAATTTCTGCTCCTTAAATGAGATTTGCCCCCATGTGTCCCAGTAAGTTGCTGGATGCCTGGGGTTATTTCTCCTACCTTCACACTGCTCCCGTGATTTAGATAAACCCTCAACATGTACTTATCCTTGAACCCCTCTGTAACTTCCTACGGGGCATTATAGAAGACTTGCCTCCAATATGTTCTGATCTACCTAGAAGGGAGCATTGCTCTTACCTCTAACTGCTATGAGACCAGGCAGATCACTGGATGACTTTCAGTTCTTGTAGATTAGACCAGCAGTGAGGGAGTGTCTCTCAATGCAGTGTATATCTGAGAGCTGGAGGGTGTGACTGCTTGTAATAGGAGCAAGCATGTGGCTCCAGCTAATTACCCTCCAGCTGCTGGAATCTACATAGAAACATAGAATGTGACGGCAGATAAGAACCATTCGGCCCATCTAGTCTGCCCAATTGTCTAAATACTTTCATTAGTCCCTGGCCTTATCTTATAGTTAGGATAGCCTTATGCCTATCCCACGCATGCTTAAACTCCTTTACTGTGTTAACCTCTACCACTTCAGCTGGAAGGCTATTCCATGCACCCACTACCCTCTCAGTAAAGTAATACTTCCTGATATTTTTAAACCTTTGCCCATCTAATTTAAGACTATGTCCTCTTGTTGTGGTAGTTTCTTCTTTTAAACATAGTCTCCTCCTTTACTGTGTTGATTCCCTTTATATATTTAAATGTTTCTATCATATCCCCCCTGTCTCGTCTTTCCTCCAAGCTATACATGTTAAGATCCTTTAACCTGTCCTGGTAAGTTTTATCCCACAATCCATGAACCAGTTTAGTAGCCCTTCTCTGAACCCTCTCTAAGGTATCAATATCCTTCTGAAGATACGGTCTCCAGTACTGTGTACAATACTCCAAGTGAGGTCTCACCAGTGTTCTGTACAATGGCATGAGCACTTCCTCTTTCTACTGCTAATACCTCTCCCTATACAACCAAGCATTCTGCTAGCATTTCCTGCTGCTCTATTACATTGTCAGGCTGCCTTAAGGACCACTATAGTGCCAGGAAAACATACTCGTTTTCCTGGCACTATGGTGCCCTGAGGGTGCCCCCACCCTCAGGGACCCCCTCCCGCCCGGCTCTGGAAGGGGGAAAGGGGTTTAAACTTACCTTTTTCCAGCGTGGGCGGAGAGCTCTCCTCCTTCTCTCCTCCTCCTCTCCGCCCCGCCGGCTGAATGCGCACGCGCGGCAAGAGCTGCGCGCGATTCAGCCGTCGCTTAGGGAAGCATTTACAATGCTTTCCTATGGACGCTTGCGTGCTCTCACTGTGAAAATCACAGTGAGAAGCACGCAAGCGCCTCTAGTGGCTGTCAATGAGACAGCCACCTAGAGGAAATAGGGGAAGGCTTAACCTATTCATAAACATAGCAGTTTCTCTGAAACTGCTATGTTTATGAAAAAATGGGTTAACCCTAGCTGGACCTGGCACCCAGACCACTTCATTAAGCTGAAGTGGTCTGGGTGCCTAGAGTGGTCCTTTAAGTCATCAGAAATAATCACCCCTAAATCCCTTTCCTCATATGTTGAGGTTAGGGCTCTATCAAATATTCTGTACTCTGCCCTTGGGTTTTTACATCCAAGATGCATTATCTTGCACTTATCCACATTAAATGTCAGTTGCCACAATTCTGACCATTTTCTAGTTTACCTAAATCATTTGTCATTTGGCTTATCCCTCCTGGAACATCAACCCTGTTACATATCTTAGTATCATCAGCAAAAAGACATACCTTACCATCAAGACCTTCTGCAATATCACTAATACAAATATTAAAGAGAATGGGTCCATATCTATTACATGTTCTGTTGCAATCTGTGAGGAAATTAAAGGGACCCTCCAGTAATAATGATGGCAGAAAAATTAGCTGCAGTTATACACAGTGTGCAGGGAGACAGGGGACCCCAATAGCTGCAGTTATAATACAGTGTGCATGGAGACAGGGGACCCCAATAGCTGCAGTTATAATACACAGTGTGCAGGGAGACAGGGGACCCCAATAGCCTATTAGCTGTAGTTATAATACACAATAACCTTACCCTGATCCCATCTCCCCTGCGAGTAACAGACATATTAATTTCTGCTCCTTAAATGAGATTTGCCCCCATGTGTCCCAGTAACTTGCTGGGTGCCTGGGGTTATTTCTCCTACCTTCACACTGCTCCCGTGATTTAGATAAACCCTCAACATGTACTTATCCTTGAACCCCTCTGTAACTTCCTACGGGGCATTATAGAAGACTTGCCTCCAATATGTTCTGATCTACCTAGAAGGGAGCATTGCTCTTACCTCTAACTGCTATGAGATCAGGCAGATCACTGGATGACTTTCAGTTCTTGTAGATTAGACCAGCAGTGAGGGAGTGTCTCTCAATGCAGTGTATCTCTGAGAGCTGGAGGGTGTGACTGCTTGTAATAGGAGCAAGGATGTGGCTCCAGCTAAATACCCTCCAGCTGCTGGAATCTATTACATGTTCTGTTGCAATCTGTGAGGAAATTAAAGGGACCATCCAGTTATAATGAGGGCACAGAAATTAAAGGGACCATCCAGTTATAATGATGGCAGAAAAATTAAAGGGACCATCCAGTTATAATGATGGCAGAGAAATTAAAGGGACCATCCAGTTATAATCAGGACAGAGAAATAAAAGGGACCATCCAGTTATAATGAGGGCAGAGAAATAAAAGGGATCCTCCAGTTATAATGATGGCAGAAAACATTAAAGGGACCATCCAGTTATAATGATGGCAGAAAACATTAAAGGGACCATCCAGTTATAATGAGGGCAGAGAAATAAAAGGGACCATCCAGTTATAATGAGGACAGAGAAATTAAAGGGACCATCCAGTTATAATGATGGCAGAGAAATTAAAGAGACCCTCCTGTTATAATGATGGTAGAGAAATTAAAGGGACTATGCAGTTATAATGATGGCAGAGAAATTAAAGGGGCCCTGCAGTTATAATGAGGACAAAGAAATTAAAGGGACCATCCAGTTATAATGAGGAGAGAGAAATTAAAGGGACCATCCAGTTATAATGATGGCAGAGAAATTAAAGAGACCCTCCTGTTATAATGATGGTAGAGAAATTAAAGGGACCATGCAGTTATAATGATGGCAGAGAAATTAAAGGGACCATCCAGTTATAATAAGGGCAGATAAATTAAAGGGACCATCCAGATATAATGATGGCAAAGAAATTAAATGGATCCTCCAGTTATAATGATGGCAGAAAACATTAAAGGGACCATCCAGTTATAATGATGGCAGAAAACATTAAAGGGACCATCCAGTTATAATGAGGGCAGAGAAATAAAAGGGACCATCCAGTTATAATGAGGACAGAGAAATTAAAGGGACCATCCAGTTATAATGATGGCAGAGAAATTAAAGAGACCCTCCTGTTATAATGATGGTAGAGAAATTAAAGGGACTATGCAGTTATAATGATGGCAGAGAAATTAAAGGGGCCCTGCAGTTATAATGAGGACAAAGAAATTAAAGGGACCATCCAGTTATAATGAGGAGAGAGAAATTAAAGGGACCATCCAGTTATAATGATGGCAGAGAAATTAAAGAGACCCTCCTGTTATAATGATGGTAGAGAAATTAAAGGGACCATGCAGTTATAATGATGGCAGAGAAATTAAAGGGACCATCCAGTTATAATAAGGGCAGATAAATTAAAGGGACCATCCAGATATAATGATGGCAAAGAAATTAAATGGACCCTCCAGTTATAATGATGGCAGAGAAATTAAAGGGACCATCCAGTTATAATGATGGCAGAGAAATTAAAGGGACCCTCAAGTTATAATGATGGCAGAGAAATTAAAGGGACCCCCTAGTTATAATAATGGAAGAGAAATTAAAGGGACCTCCAATTACAATGATGGCAGATAAATTAAAGGGACCATCCAGTTATATTGATGGCAGAGAAATTAAAGGGACCTCCAGTTATAATGATGACAGAGAAATTAAAGGGACCATCCATTTATAATCATGGCAGAGGAATTAAAGGGACCTCCAGTTATAATGATGGCAAAGAAATTAAAGGGACCATCCAGTTATAATGATGGCAGAGAAATTAAAGGGACCATCCAGTTATAATGAGGGCAGAGAAATTAAAGGGACACTCCAGTTATAATGATGGCAGAGAAATTAAAAGGACAATCCAGTTATAATGATGACAGAGAAATTAAAGGGACCTCCAGCCACTCAGCAATCATTTCATGGTTATTTACTAAAATGAGAGCTGTCCGGAGATCCAAATTTAAGTCCAAAGTAACTGAACTGAAAACATTCCCAAAGTTATCTGTGCTCTCAGTCTGACTGCTGTGAGCCCTGAATGTATGACAGTTCTCAGTTTAGTAAATAAACCCTGCTTGTATTTTGCAGGAGTTTCTCTGTGTCTCTGCACTGCAATAATTACAACCATTCACAAAAATAAGCTAAGTAGATCTGCAGATACGCCGTATTTACCAAGACACATATTGCGGTTATGTTGCGATCCCTTTGACACTATAGTCACCAGTAGTGATGTCGCGGACATAACATTTTCGGTTCGCGAACGGCGAACGCGAACTTCCGCAAATGTTCGCGAACGGGCGAACCGGGCGAACCGCCATAGACTTCAATAGGCAGGCGAATTTTAAAACCCACAGGGACTCTTTCTGGCCACAATAGTGATGGAAAAGTTGTTTCAAGGGGACTAACACCTGGACTGTGGCATGCCGGAGGGGGATCCATGGCAAACCTCCCATGGAAAATTACATAGTTGATGCAGAGTCTGGTTTTAATCCATAAAGGGCATAAATCACCTAACATTCCTAAATTGTTTGGAATAACGTGCTTTAAAACATCAGGTATGATGTTGTATCGATCAGGTAGTGTAAGCGTTACGCCCGCTTCACAGTGACAGACCAAACTCCCCGTTTAACGCACTGCAAACAACTACAAACAGTCCATTTGCACAACCGCAAACTCCCCATTTGCACAAGGTTGGATACCAAGCTAGCCATGTCCCGTTCCTTGTCCTCACTGATGTCATTGAAGGTCTCTTCCTCCACCCAGCCACGTACAACACCAAGGGTCCCCGAAAGGTGACAACAAGCCCCTGGGACGCCTGCTGTGTTTGGTCTTCCACCTCCTCAAAGCCACCTTCCTCCTCTGACTCCTCTTCTTCAGACTCCTCTCTCTGTGTTGCCTCTCTCTGCATTATTATAAGGTGTGTTAAGTAGTACTATTCCTATCAGTTTAATCCCTGTTACGTCCCCTATCAGGGGACGTGTATATGGCATCAATTTTAGGAACCGGGAGATGGAAAAAGATGCTTGGTCGGTCCTCCTACTTCAAATTTGGGGCACTGCGCGTGCAATCTAATGTGCCACCAGGTAGGAGTGGTGTGTTAAAACGGCACTGTCATGCCGAACTTACCTTTCCTCAATCTCTTCCTCTTCTCCCCTTCTCTCAGGATCTGTTCTTCTTTTCTTCCTGTCTTCTTTTGTTTTCTTTAAAATCATAAGACAAAGTAGGGACTCTTTTCCTTATGGAGGATTCCTCCGCTTGACCAGCTCTGACCAGCGGAGGAGCAAAGTGTGCTTCATTTCCGCTGGTCAGAGCAATTTTCCCATAATTCTTACCTTCCCTCTGTGTTCCCACGATGCTTCCTGTCACTTTACACAAAACTGCCGAATTGCGTTCTAACTGAATGAGAACAGTATGTTCGTTTCTTTTAGAATGCAATTCGGCACTTTATTCGGATCGGAATTTAATTTGAATGAATGAAACTTCCGATCCTATTCGTGCTGTGGCTGCATCTTGCAGCCGCTTAGTTGATAACTCCCTAATTCCCACGGTATCAGGGAGCTATCTACTGAAATGCCGAAAGACCTAAATTGGTCTTTCAGCCAACTTTACTAATACTAAGTAAAAATTACTTAGTATTCGTAAATGCTGCCCCTACTCGATATATACAGCGAGTAAGGGCATGTCTAGTAAGCAGTGAGCAGCCTGTGTAATAAATTTTTTAATAAAAAATAAACTATTGGCCCCCACCCCTAAATGACGGGTGGGGGCCCTAAAGTAAAATAAGGGGGGAGACCTAAAGTCCTCCCCTGGCCCCCACCCCTGCGCGGTGTGTGGGGGTCATAATGATAATGGGGGGGACCTACTGCCCCCCCCCCAGCCCCCACACCTGCGTGGTGTGTGGGGGTCATAATGATAATGGGGGGGGACCTACTGCCCCCTCCCGCCCCCTCCCGCCACCACCCCTGCGCGGCGGGTGGGGGCCAAATGATAATTAGCGGGGGGACCTACTGTCCACCCCCCCCGGCCCCCACCCCTGGGTGGCGGGTGGGGGCCATAAAGATAATGAGGGGGGGGGACCTACTGTCCTCCCCCCCGGCCCCCACCCCTGACTAGGGGCTTGGTGACTTGACTTAGGGCCCCCACCCGCCGCCCAGGGGTGGGGGCCGTGGGGGAGGACTGTAGGTCCCCCCTCATTGTGTTTATGGCCCCCACCTGCCACACAGGGGTGGGGGCCGGAGGGGGGGTGGACAGTAGGTCCCCCCCTCATTATCATTTGGCCCCCACCCGCCGCCCAGGGGTGGGGGCGGGGGGGAGGACAGTAGGTCCCCCTCCCCCCCATTATCTTTATGGCCCGCGCAGGGGTGGGGGCCGGGGGGATGACAATAGGTCTCCCCCCTTATTTTACTTTAGGGCCCCCACCCGTCGTTTAGGGGTGGGGGACAATAGTTTTTTTTTTGTTTTTTTTTTACAGTGAGCAGCCTGTGGCTGCTCACTGTTTAGTAGACATGCCCCTACTCACGGTATAGCGAGTAGGGGCATTGGGGAGATTTTAATCTCCCTTGTGCTATTACGGGGGTCATATTGACCCCCATAGAGTGAGGGGGGACCTGGGGGGCTTATGAAGTGGTGGGGAGCACTGCTCCCTGCCGCTTCTATAGTTACATATTACAGGGAAGGAGCTGCGTGCTGGTAGCTCCCTCCTTGTAATAAACTGAGCGAACAAACGAACACTGATACACAGTGTTTGTTTGTTCGGCTGATTTTTCTATTCACTCATTCGTCTGTCTGATGAATGAATGAATAGATGAAATTCCCGTTCTCATGTCCAAGTGTTTCACTGGGCATGTGCGGGAATCTCACAGTCTATCTAGTGTGGGCTGATGACGTGTCCCACAGGGACTTCATCTACCCACACAAAGATGGCTGCGCCCTGAATAAAGATCGGGGCAGAAAATAAAGATTAAAAAACTAGGTAATGTGGGGGGCTTAGGGGCATTTGGGGGTGACTAGGGTGTCAGTTAGGTTAGAGATAGTGGAGGCCGGAGGGGGGGTTAAAAAAAAAACAGGATTTGGCATGACAGTACCGCTTTAAGTAGTACTATTCTTATCAGTTTAATCCCTGTTACGTCCACTATCAGGGGACTTGTATATGGCATCGA